ATTTCTTATCATTTTGATGATTCCAGAACCTTGCAGTACACACCAATACATGATCAACCTTTTCTGATCGATTTCATAGCGTTTCTTTCACAATGACCATCATAGGCGCCGGAAGTGGGGGGGGGGGGGTGGGCAGGGGGCAGTTGCCCCCCCCCCCACAAAAAAAAGCCCCCCCCCCCCCCTCGAAAAAAAAAGCAGTAAAGTAGTAAACATAGTTTGTATTTTTAACCCAAAAGAACATAACAATAATAAAAACCTAAATTAAATCACATATACAATTCCATTCAAAAAAAAGGAAAGTTCACAGGAATTAAATTTCATAAACATTGCGCATGCCACCTATACGGTATTTATCAATGGAGGTCTTTATAATAGCGATACGCGCATATCGTGGACATTCTGCGAGAATGGGAAATCGTTTCTGTTTTGTTATTTTTTGTTATAGGGGTGAGAAGACATGAGCCCCCTGACCGCTGGCGTACTGATGGGGGGTGTATTTTTTATTCGATACCAGTGATTTACAAATGTTGCTGTTATGACATGATTTTCCGGTATTTTGTCTCCATTTTTATGTAAGTCATACCTTTTCATGCGTTTGTTGGAAAATAAGAAATTCCCAAATTACAGTCGGGCGGAAAATACGCTTATTTAGAAGCCTTTATGTCATGGTCTGCAAAGTGGCTTGGCTCGAGCCCCCCCCCCCCCCCTCACTTTTTGAAAAAGTATGTTAAAGAGAAAAAGAAAGAAAGATGGAGAGAAAAAAATAAGTTACCTGCCAATGTCACAAATAAGGTATAAAAAATGCTCATCTGACCGTAATTAAATGCCTAAAACCACAGAGCTTATGGGGGCTCCGCCCCCGAGCCCAACCAAGGGCCCTAAGGCGGTCCGCTGGATGCTCATCTGACCGTAATTAAATACCTAAAACCCCTGAGCTACCGGGGGCTCTGCCCCCTGGATGCTCATCTGACCGTAAATAAATACCTAAAACCCCTGAGCTTCCGAGGGCTCTGCCCCCTGGATGCTCATCTGACCGTTACTAAATACCTAAAACCCCTGAGCTTCCGGGGGCTCTGCCCCCTGGATGCTCATCTGACCGTAATTAAATACCTTAAACCCCTGAGCTCCCGGGGGCTCTGCCCCCTGGATGCTCATCTGACCGTAATTAAATACCTTAAAAAAACGAGCTTCCGGGGGTTATGCCCCCTGGAACCCCACCAAGGGCCCTAAGGCGGACCCTTGATGCTCATCTGACCGTAATTAAATACCCAAAACCCCTGAGCTTCCGGGGGCTCTGCCCCCTGGATGCTCATCTGACCGTAGTTAGGTATTAAAATCTCTGGCTTCTGGGGGCTCCCCCCTCTCCCCCCGGAACACGTTAATGACATTAAAGAGGGCCACTGGATGCTCATCTAACCGTTATTAAATACTTAAAACCCCAGAGCTTCGAGGGGCTCATGCCCTGGACCCCACGCCAATTTACGTTTTACCTGATCGTTAATACTCCACTTTGAAAAACGTTCCTCGGGACCTGCATGTAATGTGCAAGACTGGTGGTGATGCAGATTTTTCGTCTGCCCCCCCCCCCCGTTCCGAACGTTTTTTTCTCATTACGTCACTGTCCCTGGAAGGTGAACCCCTGGAATGTTTGCCCCCCCCCCCCCCTCTAATCCCAAACTGCTTCCGGCGCGCCTGATGACCATTACTGGTCTTTATCTTTAACGTGACATTGCTTCTTCTACCCCTGCAAACGAAAAAGAAAACAAGGTTATTGAATAAACAGATTTTGCGACAAAATAATCATTGTGATTCAAATTGATGCAAAGATTTTTTTTTTGGAATAAGCAATGCTTTTTACTAGAATCTTCTTTGTAAAAACGACTTTTACAAATCTCAGCCATGCAATTCTGCCACTGTGCTATTGCTGTAAGATCACTTTCAGATTAAGAGAAGTGTATTCTTTAATGAGTACTTTAAATTGAATGGAACGTCTCAACTCAGTAAGCATGGCTGAGATTTGTAAAAGTTGTTTTAACAAAGAAGATTCTGGTGAATAGCAGTGCGAATTAAAACGAAAAATATTTGCATCAATTTGAATCATTATTTGTCGCTTAGTCCCTTTTAATGATCTTGTTTTCTTTCTCGTTTGCAAGGGCAGAAGAAGCTATATGTCACGTTAAAGACATCATAAAGATCAGTGTTTTATGCGTATGTATTATACACAGGTCCCGCGAAACGTTTATCAAAATGGGAAGGCTGAAGTATTTACGATCAGGTAGAGGGTAGCGAGCGAAGCGTAAATTGGTGTGGGAAGTTCGGGGGCGGAGCCCCCTGAAGCTCAGGAGCTTTAGGTATTTAATTACGGTCAGAGAAGCACAAATATTTTGATGCCGCATTTGTGTCACTGGCAGTTCACAATATTTGTGTTGAATGACGTAAATCATGGCCTGAAGCAATATTTAATTCAATTGAGACACTTGCTAAAGGCTTTTGTTTTAAAAAGGTAACATTTACGTTACTATCCCATTTTTTAAACCGGTTGAAGGGGGCAAGGGGGGCCGGGCCGGTAGAATCGGCCCGTGGATCCGCGCCGGTGGTGTAGAGTGGGCTTACCCGGAAACGAAACCTTTCACATGGAACGCTTTGAAAATTCATCATCTTTAAACACATATTTATTTCTTAATCAGTGGGAGAAAAGCTAATTGTGATGCAAATCATATATTTGGCCCTAGCTGCCTATCTAGGAGTACTGCAGATACTGGGAAGCTTAACAGCGACACATAAAACGTGCTATTGGGAAAGAGAAGAGAAAACGGGGATGGGGGCAACGCAGGCATGTGAACATCTGATCCAAGTTATTGGTAATTTGCCGTCCACAACATTACAAATGAATATTACATAAAAATGGGCATCGTGGATGCCAATGGTTCTTTTGTCTTATCCAGCGTGCTCTTGCAGGTCTGTTAACTTGATAGAATCTAGCTAAAATCTGTTGTGAGGTCGGTAGCATATAATCTGGAAGCACATACTCAAATTAGACACTTTACCACAATTCTTAAAGCCTTGAACAGAGCCTAGATATGCCAGTCTCTTGCTGTGTCTAACAGCAGCTAAAGTACAGTGCCTAGTGTAGTCTCAGTTTGCAGACACTGCTACGTTGTGTAATGTTTAATAGATAATATAACAAAACAATACAATAAATACATATACAATTAGTATAATTCTTGTTATCATATCCATTCTACTTAAACTCATCAGATTATACGGTATCTATACTTCGAAGCCGAATGAAGATGGCAACGACGATGAATGAGAGATAAGATGAGACATAATATCATACAGATTATAATCAATTTATCGCGATTAATCATCATATTTCACCATTGGACCCAGTAGATTGTTCTGAAATCTTCTCTTCTAAGCATGTGAACCTGCTTCAGGAGAAAATTGTAAAAGAAACACTTAATCATTCATTTAAATGTGTAACTAAAGATTAAAAAGTCGAAAGGAAAATTGTCACAATATTTTCTCCTTCTTCTTCTTCTTCCGGCTCCTTTTATCCCTTATTGCTGATTTTTAGAATCCGTTAAAAGGGGATGGTAATTGTCGGATAGTTCAGAGCATCACGTCTATTAGATGAATGTGATGTAGTTAAAATACGTAGTTTTAGGACCTAGCCTTAAAGGCAGAGTATCCCTTTTGCAGCCAACATCAAATAGATAACTTTGCAGGAATTATGCATATGTCACGTGTGTCCTACCTGTGAAATCTAAATGTTCACATTCTCCTAGTATTCAAATTATGCAAGGAAACCCGTTCATTGTCTAGATTTCACTTTTAGACACTATATAGTGAGTGAGTGACTTCTTCTTTTCTTTGGTAATAACATACATAAAATGTGCTGTAAAAGATACATGAGCATTTGTACACAATCAATAACCCACTTCTTGTAATGGCCAAAATTAAGCTGATTGAATCTTTGCGCAGCACAAAACTGCAAAAGGGACCCACCACATTTAAAGAGAAGCTTAAGTTCCGGAAAGGAAATTAACAATTCATGAACTTTTTCATTCTTTTTACATTAGTGTGGAAAAGTATCACAGAAAATGTCCGCTGAAAAGGATGGCTCTTGTACTCGAGGTTGTGGAGCACACACGTGTTTTTTATAGTCCTCTATGCACATTTTTGTTTACAGCGAATATGGCTGTTAGCAAGATGGGGCTATTTTGTGTTATCATTTTGGTGTTTCAAAAACCTCACAGTATAAACCAATACGTATGTAATATATGGCCAACCCTTTTCCATCGCTTTTACAACGTTTCTTTCACGCTGCAATCGCCTGACCAGAACTGTATTTATCTTTAAGATGTAGGGACACTATACCCCCCCCCCCCCCCCCTCTTTCTTGTTTCATGTTTTACTGCATCTGGGAGTAATTTATTGTTATATTTTCGTTTAATTAATTGCAGCAAGCGTGTGATCAATCCACTTTAGAGTCTTTACTAATTGAAGTTAATAATATCACGTTTCGCTTTCAAATATTATACATGTCTGCACTATTATTCACTGTGAATGTGAAGTGATATTAATGATCTAATTGAACCAAAGAGTCAAGACGACTTTGGATTTCTTTGTTAAAGAACGAAACTCTGCCAGTTCACTTAACTATAATGAAGTGATAAAGAGTTCAATGCAATTTTAGGACTTCTCTGCAAGTGAAATGAATCATAAAAACAATAGTTTTCTCTGCTTCTTTAAATACAAATATATATGTATGCATAAACAATTGCCTATTAATACACATGTCAGACTTATACTTGAAAAACATATCGTACACAAAATAAAAGTTCAAAGAAGTGCACCTCGGTACAAGCTGGAAGTTTACTTCTTTCTAATCTCTGTCGGCACCACACATAATTATAAAGAGTATATTTATACACTGTATATATATATATATATATATATATATATAAGCAAGTTTATATATATATATAAAAGTGCGAGAATTCTCAACTCTGACATGACAACGGGTGGTTGACTATGATTGAGTGATATTAAGCATTAAGTTTGTACGCCGTGTATATTTGTTTATATACAATGTATTTGTTTTTGTATGTGTTTTTACTTCAGAACCTGAAGAAGGCCTCACAAGCCGAAAGCTCGTAATAAACTTGTAAAGTACAGCTACGCTTCACGTTCCTAGACAATTTTCTGCACGCCTATATGTTATATATATAGACGCATAGCATTTTTCAAAGTCAAATCAAATCATTATTGGACAAAGCCCTAAGAGCATAAATAGAGAGGGGAAATGAGAGAATAACGGTGTGATATATCAATGATCCTCCTTTACGGTAGTCCTATTGGGAAAACTGACAATATTGAAATATATGAAACGTAATGTTTGTACCTAACACAATATTGTTAAACATGAACCCCTTAGAAATCAATTTTCGATTGTGCACTGCTCCTTAATTACATAAAGTACAATCCTGCGCATCAGTGAAATATGGTTATCGTTATATCCTTGGACACGATGGAATAATAATGAAATTGAGTATACAAAAATGAAGGAGGCATGAGCCCCTTCCCTTCATTCTTTCAGTTTGTAGTACGAAGAATTCATGTTCAACTCTTCCTTTTATTACCAGGTGATACACATCAGCAGAGTTATGACGGTTATTTAGAGCACATCTTGCTGAATATCATGTTCTTGTATTTGATAAGTTCTTTCCTTGCACGTTGGTTCATGAAGGCGTAGATGACAGGATCGATGACTGTGATGCAATAGGCTAACCACATGGCGAACACATAGACAGAATCCTTAATGTCAGGTTGTAAGGTTCGAAGTATCACATACGGTGTCCAGCACAATGTTATTACCAGTACTAGAAGCCCTCCTGCAAATAAATCACAAAAATTGGCATATAAAGCATAGCAAACTAAATGATAGAATGAAAATAAAGTTCATTTACACCCCAAATAAATAGAAATAGTCGTTATGTAGTATTGTATTACTTTCCAGAGTCTGCATCTTGTGATGATGAATGTACACTTCCCAAAAAGTTGACGGTAATATTAATAATATTGATAATAATAAGAACAACAATAATAATAATAATAATCATTATTATAATTATAATGATAATAATAATAATAATGATAATTGTTTCTTATAAAGCGCTTCATCAGTTACAACGTAACCGACGAAAGCTCGTACATTACCCTTGTCACTGGATTATGTTAAGATCCTGTACTTTACAGGGCACACTCTCCACTCCCTGGAGAGCATTCCAGCCAGTCCCCTCTTACGAGAGTGCACATGCTTATCCAACCACTTTGATATTCGCATCCTACCGGGTACAAATCTAGGACCTCGGTGGAAAGGAGAAATGAAGATAGAATGCCTTGCTAAAAGACATAAGTCGCGTGTCTGGGATCGAACTCAAGACCTTTGCATTCCCAGTCGAGTAATTAGACCTCTTGACAAACGACACCCCTTATATTCTATTTTTTTAATTTAGATTCTGTGTTAAAGACATTTTTAAACGTAATTCCGTACACGATTTTTTAATTTATGGCAAGTACTATTAGAAATTTCTCTCAGTATAATTTCGATCTCATTGACTTAAAGATAAACCCAAATGACTAAACCCAGGTTTGTCGTGAAGAAATCTTACCCATAATTGAAACCCTTCTCTGGATGATGTAGTTCCTCTTCTTTACTCTCAACGAACGTTTTTCTTTCTTGGTCTGCTTAGCAAGGGCTTTCCTATCCGTCTGGTTGTATCGCTCTGGCTTTGACACTTCCAAGGAATTGCTGGCCAGAGATGTGGAGCTTTCTTTGCGATTATGGAACACCACCCGATCCTTATTCCCTGCTTCTCTAGGGAACGACACGTGCGGACGTTCTTTTTCACCTTTCTCAAAAGCATCATCATGAATGCCCTTGTCTAAAGCGTCAAGGGATTCGCCGTCAGACTGATCCAGGCTCTTGTCGTTGTATTCACCTGATAGATTACTAGCCGAGTTTGGTTTGCTTTCAGTGTACATACTGGTTTCAATCCCTTCACCCTTTGAATCACTGCATGCACTCCGCCCTCGTCTTCCGGATATCTGACACTCCTTCAGGTTCTGATTCTGCCTCCAAAGAGTGTAGACAACTACTGAGTAGCTTGCTACCAGCGTAGGAATCATGAAACCAAACAAAAAGATGCTGAAAACTACACGAAATTTCAACACTTCCAATTTAATTGTGCAATGCCGGATTTCACTGATGTAACCAATGCTAGATAGGACGTCTGTAGCGGGTGCAAGAGATATCAATGTCCCGATGAACCACGCTATGGCGACCATGACGTAGACCCTTAGGAGACCATCTGGGAGTGCCTTCGATGACGTCACAATGAGAACTCGATCAACAGCTATGGCGACTACTGTCATTAGGTGGGCGAAGGAGAATATGTTGGAAAAGAAACCAGTCACCTACAGAGAAGAAGAGTTGAAATTCAAATGATAAATGATAATGATATTGAATCTGGATTTATAATACGAAATACTGTCTCTAAGCGCTTTACAGATATAATCATTACCCCACTCATCCCATTTATTCACACGTAATGTGCACTTACTCTACTCCTTAAAGTGTTAAACTATTATTTCGCAAGCTTTTTTAAAATCAAATGTAGGAAAAATGAAAAGCGTTTCAATTTGTTTTGGGGTTGATCCTTTCGATCACATCTTGACTAGACTGACCCATTTACACCTGGGTGGAGAGTGAGAAATATGGATTAATGCCTACGCAAAAGACGTTAGTGCCAGGCTAGGATTCAAACCCTCAACCCTTGAATTAAGAGTCAAGTAAAATTAACCACTACACCACGACACATCCTCTTTCATTACTAGAGTTAATGGTAAACCTTTCTATCTGAATCGATGTATCCTTTGGGTTTCTTCATTGTTCAAATGCTGTTGTTTATGATGTTGTTGTAGTTGTTGTTGCCGCTGCTTGATTGGTTAGATCATGTGGTTGTTTGTTTGTTTGTTTTAGGGTGGGTTTTCTTTTTTGTTTTGTCTTCTCGTTAAAGCTATCTCTATCTATCTATGTATCTTCTCCCGGTTCGGAGGTTGATTGAACATCTCTCCATTTCACTCTATCTTCTGCCATTCTGGTGCACTCTTGCAGTTTTAGTCCACTCCAGTTCTTTACATTCTCTTCGAAAGTTCGAAGTTGATTATGGGTCTCCCTCTCGGTCTAGTTCCTTCCACTCTTCCCTCCAACACATCCTTTAAGAGGCTTTGGTGCCTAGCGACTGATTAAAAAGCGCTTCATGAAATGTCATAATCATTTTCACAATTTTTCAACTCTATCCTGACTCACCTTGCACGCCACTTCATGATGTTGAAGAAACCGTCCCCCATCAAGGACGGATACCAGTGAGAAGGTCATACCGGTAAGGGCCACGCCCAAATCCGCCACCGATAGGTTGAGTATTAACAGGTTATGAGGGTTCTGTCTCAGACTACGCACGCGGAGGATGATGGTGATGGCAATGATATTTTCTATCAGAGCGCCGGTCATAATTAAGATGAGGCTACAGGACGATACAATTATATATTTGCATGTTATGAACAGTTTAAATTATACCATCCTTTTATTATTTAAGTTATGAAAATGAGATAGAAGAGAGAGATGTAAAGAAATAGGCACTTGGCATTAATTTAAATTCTCCAACGCATACCAAATGTACTTATTTCAATGTTCTACTGGCTCTCAAAAATTAAGCCTTTTTACTTAAGCTTGGGGATCAAGCTCTTGTTCCTATGATAGTGGACATATTCCAAAGTTTAGATGCATATAGAACTATCAAGATGTTAACGTAGCTAAAGCAGAGTTGTGAAGTCTTATGAACTATACATGACAGAACAACTTGTAACGACTTCCACTGTAATAGGAATAGTATACACAGGAACACACATACAGCACACCTACTAGGTGGAAATAATCATTAGCTATACACCTTAAACCTTGAAGAAGAAGAATATTTTTAAAAAAACATTAGTTGAAAATCTTATTCAAAACTGTCAGCCACTTACAGCTATCTTGAAATTACCCTATTTGATTACATAGCAAAGAAAACTATCCCTCAAAATGTTTCACTTTCCTTTTAAACCATTTTTCCATGAGAGCTGCCATTTTGATTTATACTGTGATGTCAGAGTACTACATTATCAATGACCTGAATCGAATGTACAGGGTGTTGCATACTGACTGGGTAGTGTATATCCAGAGCCATAGATGCAAACAGCAGCTATCTTGTTACTCTGGCACCTCAAACAAATCATTTCTTCGAGCAGTTCTACGAATGTCTTTGTCACTCTTTTAAAAGGGGAAGTCCTTCCCGATATTGAATTAGTTTTACTAGAAGCACAAAAATGAAAAGAACTGGTCAGTGAAAGTTTGAGTAAAATCCGATTTTAAAAAAAAAGCTATGAATTTTGGAAGTTGCGATTAATCAAACACAAATATGTGACGTATCTTTCGAGGTTATCTCCTTATTAAAAATATCAGAACTTTCTATTTTCCCTAAAGAAAACGTTCAATCATACATGCATCCTATATATAATTGTTGCAAATATGTTCCTGTACAATCCCTGTGAGGCTGTGAGAAACAAATATTTTCCGTCATCAACGACTAAGAAAATGGAAGTTTATGAAGTTTTCTGTACATAGCAAATTGGAGAGGACCTCGCACGATACCTCACCGAGTTGCCAATGTGTGTTTGATTGAATCGAAACTTCGAAATTTTCACTTTCTTAATTTCAATCGGATTTCGCTCAAACTTCCATTGACTAATCCTACTGCCTGTCATGACTTAATACCATGGTGGACTTCCCCTATAGTAATTGACTGAACTTGGGCTGACCACAGCTCATGCATGCTAACTATATTGCTTAACAAAAGAAACTGCTCAATTGTTTGTCTGAACCAAAAAGTCGTGAATAAGCATCCAGTCATTTGACAGTTTAGTGTCCTACATTGTAACTAAGATAAAGGTCAGCTGGTATATCACAAGTTGTACTACTCTGACATCACTATTTTAATCCACAAGGCGACTCCCATTGAAGAATGGCTAGCAAGGAAATTACAAACTGTGGAGAGATGGTTTTCCTTGCTAAGTAATTTAAAAAGGAGTAATTTCAAGACACTTTTATCTGGCTCAAAAGGAGATAAGCCTTTTGCTAAACAAATTTGTGAGGTTTAAAACATTCCTTTATAAAAAATCAAAGTATTCAAAATATTTTGAAGGACCCATCGTAGACTGAGGGAAAGAAAATATAATGATATTTGATAAGTCCACTTGCCTGGTTGCCTCTAAAGCTGTAGAACTGTCAGCCATACTCTGTCAAACTAACGGAGCTGTGTGATGTGATGTACCAAACGCATATGCGTTAGCTCAATCCGAAATCGATGGAAGAAGTTCCTTTTATATCTGTAAGCAGTCACTTATTCATACTATGATACAGCTTTGGTAGAGCAGGCAAAATTCCATTGTAAGATAAAGGATGTCAAATATTCAGTTTCCAATCACACAATACCCTCTTTAAACAACCCATCGTCAGGATACATCGCATACTTGAACTCTTTCTTGCCAAACGAAAGGAATATTTCTTGCATGTACAACTATCAAGTAGTCGATATTAGATTAATATGACACTGTTTCATCGATCACAATCCATTTAAACCCGGTTTACTATGCATGCTTTATTAATATTTTTATGTTCTGTCCTGACAAAAGACGATCGCAAGAAGCTTTCGGTTTTCCCTTGAGTAGCCTCATCAATCATGAGTTTTTATCTATCTTGCAATGATCTATCATTCAGTTTCGGTCGCATTATAAAGCAGACCGCAGGCCAATGTGAATATTCAACTAATTGTATTAAACTATCAACTATCTATTTAAGTATCAACATTGCACGCGAATTAGTTGTATCATGAGGATAAAACATTCAAGTAGCCTGTGAATGCAAGTTGCCAATCGGAGCCAGAAGGGCGTTAACTCTGTGTTAAAGCATATGAGTTATCGCCCGCCTGGCTCCAGTATACTTTTCTTTCAGAGTTTAAACAGGGAAGCTATAGTGACGATAGATGATACAAGACAAACCATCGCTTCTTCTTTTTTGTTAATTATGGATTTATAAGTATACATATTTTCACTCCCTACTTACAGATTAATCTATTAATTTTATTTTTTTCTTCTTTTTCCCCCTATTCTTAGATGTATTTCTAAAAAATCATTATTTATTATCATTATTTGAGGGATTCACATTCTGCAAGCCCTGCTTCTCAGTAGGCCCTTTCATTTCCACAGTTTTTACTTACAAAAGAAACATGGATAATTTACAGCGAATGTTTACATTCTCTTTTGTAATTCAATTAATGATTTGCAGAATGCATTATGTTAATATACAATGGTTTTGTGATTGATTTTTGTTTTGGGTCATAATTGTTTACATCGATTGCTCTGGTACAAATTAGAATAAAACTGAAACTGAAAATGACAAACGCTTTTAATGTATCACTTTCATTTGCCAAATATACATACCTTTGTTTTATTTCTTTTATTACAGCCGATTACACGTGTGTAAAAGTATTCCATATTGTGTGGGCTCAACGAAAGTATCCATCACATGATACAACGAAATCAGTAACAATAAAAACTAAAACAGTCACCTTCTTCGTGTTTAGGTATTATGGTTTTAAATTTGTGTTGAATCTATCAACAATCAAATAATACAATTTCTGTCGAGAATTTTCACTGCGCAATCGAAGCTTCTTCTTTAAAACATCATTTTACTCATCACACTTGCATAACAAAGGAGACATAATAGCCCATGAAAAATACAAATTACTGGTAGATGTAGGGCATAAAAGCGACATCTTGAAGAAAACTACAACGTAACGCAAATATTGTTAAGATTAAAATGATTTTAAAAAGAATAATCATTTATAGAATAAATTATGTCCAACTAATCACTTTCGTATAAGGCCTCACACTCTTTGTTAACATATGTAACAGTATTGAAACTTGAGATGGGGAGCTGTAAAAAGAGGAGGAGACGTTAAAAAAAGCTTTCCATTAGGATGCCATGTAATTGAAATAGAAAATTGCAAATAGGAGGAATACTATACACTTATACTAGATGTGCGGTGAATAGAGTAGATGCGAATAAAAAGGAATAATAGTGAGAGTGGTTTCTATTTAAATGTATTCTATTATCAAATACATAAATTGCAGTTATTACATATACAATATGATAGTTAAAAAATAGGAAGGACAAAGATTTTGAATATTTAAAGTTATCCAACCTCCCCGGATTGTTAGACATGAACCACTTTCCCTTCAAATTAAACTAAAGAGAGGTTGTTTTTTTCCTTGTAAAAAGTGAACTACAATGCCTCGCTCCATCTAGGTGAGATCGTGAAAGCCTAAACTCCGTTTGTATGCACACACATATCATTAGCCTCATCGGACAAACATATCAGACTTGGTTATGAAAATGAAAACGTTTCAAGAAATGTGCAAAATACAATTCATTACTTGACGCTCCATCTTGGTGTGATCAGGAAAGCCTAAACGCCCTCTGTAGGTGGGTCATTCACACACATATCATTAGCCTTTTCAGGGAAACGTATCAGAATTGTTTATGAAAAAGTTACAAGAAAGATGCAAAATACAATTCATTGGAGCGATCGTGAAAGCCTAAACGCCCTCTGTAGGTGGGTCATTTACATACAGATCATTAGTCTCATCAGGCAAACGTATCAGAATTATTTATGAAAGCGTTACAAGAAATGTGCAAAATACAATCCATTAGTTGACGCTCCATTTTGGCGAGATCGTGAGGGCCTAAACGCCCTCTGTATAGGAGTCATTCGTACAAAGATAACGAGCCTCGCCAGGCAAACGTATTAGAATTGTTCATGAAAACGTTTCAAAAAATGTGCAAAATACAATCCATTAATTGACGCTCCATCTTGGCGAGATCGTGAGGGCCTAAACGACCTCTGTATAGGAGTCATTCATACAAAGATAACGAGCCTCGCCAGGCAAACGTATTAGAATTGTTCATGAAAACGTTTCACGAAATATACAAAATACAATTCTTTGATTGACGCTCCATCTTTTTTGTTTTAAATGATATTTTATTTCCTTCCTCATAATTTCACATAACAAGAAATTATCAAAATAAGCAATATAAAACAAGATTTTTGATACAAGACTCTTCATGAGTTACATCAATCAATGGACATAGACAAAATGTCAGATTCTACATGATTCTACACCCACCCACACCACACCCCCTTTCACACACACACACACACACACACAAACACTGCATGCAACCTGTTCCGGAGATTTCCTTCTTCATAAAATTCACATTACAAAAGAATTATCACAGTATGTAATACAAAGCAAGATCTATGTACGATACTGTGGCGGCAACGGATTCGCCACCTTGGCTTGACACGGAATATTTGTCAGGATGCCCCGTGTCGGCCAGGCGCTCTCCGTCCGTTTGGACAAAATATATGCCCGCAGCTTGATGGCTGGTGTTCTTTCACTACTCACGTCACAGGGCGTATTAACAATCATGCATCCGTCGACTGCAATCGGTCACCCCAATCGTTGTGCACAGCAACAGTCAATTGAACATCCTTCGAGCAATCAATCAATCAATCACCAATCAGTCTCCATGCTTTGTCAACTCCTGTCACTGATTCTCGATCTCATTGTCTTACTACTGTTTCACTGTTCTAAGAAATCAGACCAATCATGAGTTGCATGTCGAATTCCTTTCATGCGAACCAACCAACATTCGGGATAACCTCGATCAACACAAGTACAAGTGCAGACTAGATGTTAGACTTAACTAAGGGTTGGGCCAGCCTCAGTGAGGCTGGCCCGTATCGGATACAGTGAAGTGGAAAACCCTAAACACACAATCCTAAGCATCCTAATAATTTCCCTATACATACCCGTATAAAAGGGCAATTATGTCCTCGTTAGTAAAACAACACTTCAACACAATATTTCTGCTAATCCCATTAAATCTTCACATATAATCTTCAGTATAACCCCTTATTCCTGATTAGATAACTACTATACAAATAATATCCCCAAAAGAAACATGATAATTGCACCAACATGATTGTTATATGTAATTTATGCTCATTTTCCTTCAGTTTGGTAATTGCTAAATCAACGATGCGCCATATTGCTATAGCGCATGCGCGTACAACAGAAAATGCTTAACCTTCGTCCAATACTAAAACCCTGATTTGTTACAATACAATGAATTACAATGAACATAGAAAAATCTCAGATCATACATGTTTGTACATTTGTTCTTTCATGTAACAGTTAATAATCAAAATAACCATAGGGGAAGGTATGAATTTTACCTAGCCCGACCCGATCAACATACTCGCACACCCTCAACTCACACCACACAAACTCTTCACCCCCCCCCCCCCCTAGCCCACCCACCTCACACCCCATTCACGCTGACACACACACTGCATGCAACCTGTTTCGGTTTGTCCACCTGTACAAGAGAGAGAATTAATAATAATAATAATAATAATAATATCCACATCCATTAAAGTAAACATGCATCGATTTGTTCCCATTTCTGTAAGTACATCCCCAGTTTCCCCTTTTAATTTAAAGAGCTCTCTTTTCGTATATACAGCCCTTTGTAATTGCTTGTATTGAAACTCTCTTTGTTTATTACATAGCATTGCACATTTCATCCTTGTGAATGTTTCTTTCAACTCCGTCATTCCGAGATCAAATTGACAGTTACCCTCTGTCACATGTAATGTATACTCTTTTTGAAGTTCTTCAATGAAGTAATCATATAACCGCCTAGGCTTTATATCACATAGTTTCTGTAAACGTCCAAATATCATCAATTCTATTTCAAAATTGTCAGTGTCCACTTCCATAAAAATCACTTTGTATCCATTCTTTTCTGATTGCTGAAAAGATCTTTTGAATTCTAAGCAAGCTTTCAGTTGCAAAACCCAAATTAAAAAAATGTAAGATCGGTTTTAAATGACCTCTGACAATTATATATGATGATTGAGGTATACCTTTCTGAAATAGTTCGACATCTAAAAATGTTTTATTGCTGAGACATATACACTTATTGCTAAATATAATCGGATTATTCTTATTTTCTCCAAAGTGTCTGCATTTATCTAATTCTTGCCATCTTGGTGCGATAGTAAGAGCCTAAACGCCCTCTTCAGATCAGTTTATCGGACAAACATATCAGAATTGTTTATGCAAACGTTACAAGAAAGATGCAAAATACAATTCATTAATTGACGCTCCCTCTATTTTTTTTAATGCTTTTTTGCCTATATTCAGATTTTTATAATTATACAAAATGATTTAGAGGAACATAACTGTTCTTATAATATAAACATAGTACTTGGTCTCATACATTATAAAACACATTCATATTTATAAAAATATTTTCCGTATGTATTCAAACTAGTACATATCCAATCAAATATACAAATTGTGATACAATTCTGCAATTTGGGAGACAAAATAGATTTTTCAATAAAAAAGGAAAAGGTGACGGTAATACTTCATATCAATATTTTCGGTTACAAAAGTATAAAAAGGAACAACTTTACAGTATAGACTTATATTCTTTTTTGTTTTAGTGTTTTTATTTAAATGAAAAACTGAACACAACACAATATAGAGATTAGGTAGCCGATGAATACATATATATCGAAGAAAAAGTGCGTCATACGCAAATAAGGGAGTTTACAGATAGCACATGGTACAAATGACCCCAAATATCCACAGATCTTTTACACATGGAGAAGTCATCCACTTTGAGCATCTTAGAATAATAACTGCCAAAGTCGTAGATGTGCTTCATGAATACCTTTTGTTTGCCCTCTTGAAAAGAATACTTCCACCTGCGTATCTTAGAACGTACCGTTGGTGCATAAATGAATAATGTTACATAACTTCATTGAGCGCATATCCAGTATTCATCTCTGTGGGTTTACCTTTTTGGTACAAATGACCTTTATCTGCTCATTCTCATGCTCAGACTGCAACCGTAAACTGGCTTATTACTTAGTTCTTGATGTGATCATGAAAGCCTAAGCGCCCTCTGTAGGCGAGTCATTCACACACCGATAATTAGCCTCATTTGGGAAAGGTATCGGAATTTGTTTATGAAAACTCTACAAGAAAGATGAATGCAGTCAAGACTGTCGAGCCACGAACTATCTACCGTTTCATGTCCTGAAATTGTCGGTCTCTATTAGTAGCATTCATCTTTTCTCTCTCTTGGGGGGGGGGCGGGGGCTTGAGCCTTGAGGAGGGGGCTTCTGCACTAAAGTGTCCCCCCCCCCCAACATGCTAGTGTAATATATTACACCATTTCTCAGCTGAACTTCCGTACTAATATTTAAACAAAATGTCGAAGCAAGACTATGTGGGGAAACCCTGAACTCTCTCTAGTTGGAATGTTTATCGTGCAAATTACTTCTGCGGTGGCAAACAGCGCAAGCTGATCGAAAGAAACTCTTGATCTCTTTTCTGACGCGATAATTCATGAATGAGTAGATCAGTGGATCGAGAAGTGCGTTACAGTATCCCAGCCACATGGTGAATACACCAAACCAATGACCCTCTGGTAGGCCCAGGTACTTGGAGTGGTGCAGGGCGTATGGGGTCCAGCATAGCATGGTGGTCAGAACCAGCAAAGCTCCTGAAAAAGAAAAAACGCTGTCAAATATACATACGTAGTGAGAGAAGGAGAGAAAGAAAGACAGAGAGAGGGGAAGAGCGTTTTCCATTTCGATGTATTATTGTGTAGTTTTTTCAGGTGAGCTTCTGTCCAGCTCTGGTTAGTAACCACTGCAGTAGAGGAAAGCAGTTTCTGAAATGAGGATTTCGGTTGTAGTATTACTGGTGCAACGCCATGATAGAGAAAAAAAGAGAGAAGAGAGGGAGAAGACGGAGAGGGAGAAAGCGAAAGAGAAAGACGGATAAGAAAAGAGGAAGAAAAATAAAGAGAGAGAGAACAGGATAAAAAGGCGTTACTTCTTTCATGCAGTACCAGATTGTCAAACAAAGGCTTTCAATTTCATGACTCACGTCATGGCAAGTTCACAGAGCAGAACTGCCAAATACATCATTCATTGTTGGCTATCGACATGTCTGAATTGTCCCTTTTTCTATTTTTCAATGTCTTTCAGATTCTTTCTTTCTTTTGACATGAAAAAAATGTGTGGGAAACTTTTAAATGTTGCTATACCTTAACTGTTGAGAACCGTCGTCAACAGGGTCACAAAAGTCGGTCATGGTTCATTGGACCATGGCTATGAACATCATTTGGATAAGAACGCAATGTACAGTGCGTCCCAGAAAAAACGAAACCGAGAATTATCGTAGTTTTGTAATAACGTAGTCCCATTTATAATTACTAAATGACACATATTTGGAAAGCTTAGATCCTCCTCTTTCATTTGCTGAAAAGCCTGCAACTCATATGATACATTTTTCACGCATGAGTGATTAAAATTAATTTGAAGAGAGGAAACCAAAAAGTCATTTGGCGGACGGTATCTGAATTTCAAAGAGAAAAATCGCATTTCTAGAAAGTTGAGGTTCTGTCCCTTTCATATGACACCTTAATCATGAGCAAGGAATGACAAAGTTCTGTTTGTTTAAAATAGTGCTTGCATTTCCATAATTTTATCAAACGAATTCGTTTTCATTGGGTGCCTGCCAGAGCAACATGCAGAATTGACAACAGACTTAACTCCGTTTCGTTGACAATCAGCCATGCATGAAGTCTTTCGTCTACGGCTTTTTGTCAACGAAATGGAGTTAAGTCTTTTGTCAACTCTGTTTGTTGCTACATAGCAACATGCAGAATTGACAACAGACTTAACTCCGTTTCGTTGACAATCAGCCATGCATGAAGTCTTTCGTCTACGGCTTTTTGTCAACGAAATGGAGTTAAGTCTTTTGTCAACTCTGTTTGTTGCTACGGTAGGCACCCATTGAAAACGATTTCGTTTGATAAAATTATGGAAATGCAAGCACTACTTTAAACAAACAGAACTTTGTTATTCCTTGCTCATTTTTCCTGATTGAGGTATCATAATAAAAGGGCAGAACCTCAACTTTTTAGAAATGTGATTTTCTCCTTGAAAATCAGATACCGTCCGCCAAATGACTTTTTGGTTTCCTCTCTTCAAATACATTTTAATCACTCATGCGTGAAATATGTATTATATGAGTTGCATCAAATGAAAGAGGAGGATCTAAGTTTTCCAGATATGTGTCATTTATCAATTATAAATGTGATTAAGTTATGATAAAACATCGATAATTCTCGGTTTCGTTTTTTTCTGGGACGCAATGTATATATGGAAAGTGGAGGAGTTTAGTTCATGATTATCTTTACCCATTATTGCTACTCTTTTCTCGGCTCTGAACTTCTTTCTATTAGCTCTCACTTTCTTCTTCCCGTCTCCTTTCCCTTCCTTCTCAGAGTCGTACCCTTGACTTGTTCTCGTTTCTGATACTGAGTAAAACTCCCTTTCTAAATGGTTTTTACCACCCTCTGTCTTCTTGGTCATGCCGGTAGACCCTTGATCTATTGGTGCAGCATATACAGTTTCCAATAGAAAAGTTGGGTTGGAAGGGGACTGTTTGTCTTCCCTCAGCGTTTGTTCTTCTCCGTATGCATATTTTTCCTTAAGAGTGTGGTTGTCTCCCTCCTCCTCATCCTCCTCCTCTTCCTCCTCCTCCTTCCCCTTCTTCCTTCCTCTGAGAGCGATGGTCAGTTGTAGGTGATGAAAGTGACGATTGGGCTTGAGAAGCATTTGTAGGATCTGATGCGAGATGCATTCCAGAAGCCTTTGAAACTGCAGAGGATGGTACCAACGACTCAGGACTCTCGTCTTCTGAGGTTAGTGTCTCTTCGGTCGATGAAGTCCGAGACGCTTTGACGCTTGGTGGCTCAGCTGACAGGGTTAATGACTCAGACTCTCGCTGTATTTCAGATGGTTTGGCAATCCAAGAGGGCAACTCGGATGGCTCAGGATGCTGACCCAAAGAATTTGGTGGCTCTTTGTTGGATGACGCCTTCGACGCTTGAGGATCAGACCCTGTGGTCTCGGGAGAGGGGTGTTGGATATCAGATGATGAAAGTGTCGTCAGTTGTCCAGTGTCTTTCATCTCCGTCGGCACAGGTGACTGGTGGGATAACACTGATGTACTCAGGCCTCGTATTTTAACTGAAGAATTATTGTGGCTGCGAAGTTTCTTTCCCTTCTTCCGCAGATGATATGTGATGATGATGTAGCAGGTTGTCAAGATGATGATCACCACTCCGTAGTTGATTATTGCGTAGAGGATTCGAAAGATACGATTGGGCCATACCGGTGAGCAATGCAGAGTATCCGGGAGATAGACGAACCCGGCCTGGTACAGGTTGTTGGTAGGGAACATGACATTGGTAAGAGCGATGATCCAGGAACAAGCGATCATGCTGTAAGCTCTGGCACGGCTGAGTGGTAACTTTTTGGTGACTATCAACAACCGATCAACTGCAATGCAGATGATGGTTGGAAAGTTGACGTATGAGAAGATCATCGCGAAGAATGCATGAGCCTGCAGTGGTCAAAAATAAAGAGAGAGTGTGAGAGAGAGAGAGAGAGAGAGAGAGAGAGATGAGAGAAGTTTACACGACATTATACATGCAGTATGTGATTCATGGGAAAGTATTTCAATGTACAGAATACAATTTAAATATTAATAATTATTCTATCCAAAACTTCTTTTCAATTAATAGGGTCAGCGACCTGCGAATCCAAAGAGATTGCCCGAGAGCCATTGATTAGGAGAGATTAGAATATGGTGAACACGGCTTTGTTGGACAAACACAAACAATGAATATACACCATGTTATGAGCAACTGAACTTGGCCAAACTATATATATAAATGACTCTGAAGGTTACAAGAGGGGCAATCCCTTGAATTTGAATTCCTAACCCGCCACTGTTGCAGTTTTAATATGGCTAACCACAACTTTTGTTGATAAGAGGGAAGGAATTCGGCACTTGTAAATATATATCATTTTGCATAATTATCCTCATGGTCGTAATAATAAAAAGGATCGCAACAAGAAAGTCTCACTTTGACAGTTCCTTTGCATAGTTTCGATCAGTAGTGTATGTTATGACAGCAAGTTTTGAATGGGCCTACGTATACTGTCAGGAGGAGAAAATCAAGTTGATTCGTGGCGTATTCAGGCCTTGGCTGCAGGAGGGTCAAATCATGTCTGCTGAATAACGTGATCCATATAATTTACCAAGGAAACAACTCTTGGAGGGCCCTATCCTTCTTTGGGCTTGTATAGTCTTGCTTGTGTTTATAAGAGCAATTTGACAATTCTGTCACCAAAATCACCTCTGTGTTATGACACCTTCGGCAATGTAGGTCTATAGATCGCTTATGTTATCCATTAATAAACGCATAAAATAAGGTATAACAACTTATACGCTGTATTTTTTTGTTAAGGAACGAGAAAGTAGCATGAACATGATGAATGCTTATCGGGTCTGATACCTTTAAACATATGAAAACTTTGACTGGTTAAAAAGAATAAACAACTTTTAAAAGTTAGATATAAAGCTAATAGCTCACTAAAATGTAAAGCAAATGTATGAATGGAAAGAATGAGTATAAAATACATAGCAGTTCCTTACATAAGTCTTTCATTTAAAAGGTACTCTACTTCTGCAGGCCCGTAGCCCCGGGGGCACGGGGGGGGGGGGGCACGTGCCCCCACCCCCCCCCCCCCCACCCTCAAAAAAAAATCCAAGATCGGTTGAACTTTTCTAGACCCCTCCCCAGGACGTCGATCAATTACATGTATGTGCCCCCCCCCCCCCCCCGAAACATCAAACTCTGGCTACGGCTCTGTACCTCTGACGCAAGTGATGGATTTGAATAGAGAGGTTCAGTCTTAGTCTTAAGTCAATATTACTTTGCAAAACTAGATATCTCACCACATTATTAGGATATCAGCATAATGCAAGGTCGTCAAAAGCCGTTCATGATTATATGTCTATTGATTGAACATGAGTATAGCGTGCTGTGGTCAAGAATTGAAGGGGGAATTCCGGTTTAAGGGAGGTCATTACTAGCTGTCATCGTGTGGATTGTTTCGATTTCAATTTCATATCATCAACCGCGACTCCTTTCGATTTCATCCTGAACACTTGACCACATAATTGGTGTCATATTTACCAACATGGCACTGAGCCATAAGTCTAAGGTACATAATATCGATACGTGAAGGCTTGTTCTTGTTGTTGTTGTTCATTTGTTTGTTTGTTTGTAAATGTTATCTTCTTTGTTTTCTTTTGAAGTAAGCGTTAGTAAACGGAAGACTCCAAATAATGTAATTTGCTTTTGTTCTGTATGTTTGTAACAAAAATTCTTCATTCTATTTTCTTTAATTTTGAAAGTAGAAGTATCAAAAAGTCAATTTAAACAATACTAATTACTTTTGTTTGCGAAAGCAAAACAAAAATTTAACTGAGTTTGACCACACTGCGTTTGTCAATAAAACCGGCAGATAACCCATGTACACATTTATTTCCAAATATACTCATTCAGCTTCTACAGGAAAGGGTGACTAAAACTTTTCTTATAATGATCTGAATTTATATAGAGCTAAATACGAAATACCGTCTCTAAACGGTTTACAGATATTATTACCCCGGTCATTGGATTCATTCATGCACAATGTGCACCCTCTTACACGCTCTTGGGAGAATAACTAGCATGTTATGGTCACCGTGGGGGCTTAGGCAATTACTAACACAAAGGCTTTCGTCATTCTAACAGGTCCCCATCTCTCTCCTGGGTATGGAGTGGCAAATATAGATTAATGCCTTGCCAAAGGTTATTAGGGCTGTGTCGGGGTCGAATCCACGACCTTCACATTTTAATTCAATTGCCTAAACCACTCGACTACGTGACGTCTAATTCATATCATAAAGTAATTGTTTCAACTATTATTGGCAGCTATCGTTACACTGTAACAAAGTGTATATTATTACTTGTTTCTATTGGCAATTAATCAAACAATTCAAGGTTAATAATGACATAGGCCTAATATTGATTATGAAAAAATGATTTATTGGCAACCGGTGGATCAGACAATCTCGAAGCTTTTCTGTGACTTTTCACCTTCTTGAAGGTCGCTTGTGTAACATTATTTTCTCCTTTTTGCCTTTTTGAAGAAGAAAAAAAGATGTACATGTCAATGATGTTAAATGATTTAAATTCAGTTTAATTAATCAAAAATACTGAAACCTTTAATGATTGGAAAACAGTGTTTGATAATACATAACATACAGACAGTGTAGATGATTCCAACGAATAGTAAGTAATGATGTTACATAAATCATATATATCAAATAATAAGTAGCTTGTCACCACAACTATATGTTTTGCATTTGAAATATTTATTCACGTTTTAGTCTTATCAATTCAATTGTTAATATTGTAACAAGGTAGTCTTATTTCAAGTCCCATTAGAAATCTGCTAAACCGGGGAGCCCTGCATACCGCATACTTACTTATACATAACATTACATGATGAATAAATAACACATACACATTTTAAAAATAGATTAATGTATAAATGAATAATTGGAAGACAAAATCATTCATAGGATTCTTAAAACCACAATTATTATGAAACACCCATTACAAAAAACATGAGAAAATGTGTGATACGGATATGATAACTGACAATTGATGATGATGATGATGATGATGATGATGATGATGATGATGATGATGATGCACATGATGGTGATGATTACACAGCAAGAGCTATTAATAGCAATCATTAATTCACATTGTCTTGTTTTTGTAAAGATTCTAAGGGAACATGTTCATTGTCTTGGAATAGAACAAGGAAATGTATTTAGAATCACTTTAAAGGGCAATTCAATCCTATTTATAAATTTATTTAATAACTTCACTAATTGGGAAAATGTGTTTAGATACGGGTCAGATAAAATAGAGGGTTTGCCACTTTGTTGACAGTTCAATTTTAATATAAAAGATATGAATTTATTATGCACTTAAAGATAAACTTGAGTTCCGGTAAAAAAAAAAGAAAATTAATTCTCATAAAATCAAACGAAACTTACACTGAATGTCCAAGATTGCAAATGAATGTAATTTGCCAAACAATTTTGGTAGAAAATGTATACTGGCTGAGTAATGAGCATAGCAAGATAGGGAAATCAAGGTAAGTAAGCCCGACGCCATTTGTGTAGTCCCATATACATATTTCTGTGTACAGTGCTTGTTACTTTACCATGGCTGGGCCAAATTTATTGTGATTTTGATGACTCCAGAACCTTGCAATACACACCAATACTTACATACTACATGATCAACTTTTTCTGATCCATTCCACACCCGGCTTTCTTTCACAATGCAAACCCATGACCATAATTCAACTTTGTTCTTAACACAATTAGCCAGAATTTTATGTAGATCTGTTTTGGACTAAGATTCATTGATATGTTTAAAGTAAGAAACATTCGAAATGAAATTATTTTGAAAAATAGTAACATTACCTTCTAGAACAAAAATATTGTTTTGTCGAGAATTTGATTACAAACGCTATCAGGAATGGCTTTACATTAAATTAATGAGAAAGTGAACGCACATCAGCTCTTATTGATTTTAAATATACACATTAATTGAAGAAAGCATTTCCGCAGTGTTGGTTAGATATATTAAGTGATGTCAATGATTTTGAAGATGAACGAGATATTTTCAATGTTATAGATATAAAAACAAGGGATAGAGGATATGTTGTTATGAAAGTGAAAGATAGCTATCGTTTGTTAAAGCGAAGAAGCCAAGCGAACCACTTATTATTTATTTTTGGAATTACTTTCTAGATTTAGATCATGACCTTGTTTGGAAGTATGTATTTTCATTTAAATTTAATTTCAAGATGATTCACATAGTTATTGCCTCAAAAGAAAATGAATATAAATGGCAAGTTGTGAATAATAATTTATGCAACACTTTTGGAAAAGTTGATTCAACGTTTCACTTTTTGTTGTATTGCAAGGATGTGATTATGTTTTGGATAAAATGCAATTTGATATTGCACCTATTCCAAGTAGGACTACAAATACACCAAAAGATATTAGTTGCAGGTAAGGACATAGGAAACAAGAAATATATTCTCCATAATATTATTTTAAATTATGCGTAATATGCAATTTAATGTCACGGTATATAAACGGTTTTGTTATTTACCCGCATGCTTTGTTTTTCTTAATTCAAGTCGTTGCTAAAATTGAAATTGAATGAAGTAAGCAGAGAAAATAATACTAAACTGGAAGAATTGTTGAATATACTTTATTTTTAAGCCAAAGTTGTTTTTCATTCAATCATTGAGTAATTAATGTAAATATTTATTGAATTTAAATTCCACATCAGGAACATGAAATCGCCTTGATAATAGAAAATATGAATAATTTGAATCAACATTTTATGCCTTTTAAAATAACTTTTACAAAATATTTTCAAGGATGCTAAAGGCTTTCCATAATTGTTAAGTCCAACTTAGAGATAAGTTCAACTTAGGATCTTTGTGAAACACCCCTAAGGGTGGAGAGTGGCATGTAACAGAGAAAATCTAACTTACCAGGCACACTTTGTGGTATCTCAGGAGAAGATGGCCGCCATCAAAGACGGATACCAGTGAGAAGGTCATACTGGTAAGGGCCACGCCCAAATCCGCCACCGAGAGATTGAGGATTAACAGGTTATGAGGGTTCTGTCTCAGACTACGCACGCGGAGGATGATGGTGATGGCGGTGATATTCGCTGCCATGGCGACCAAGGTGATGATCAAAAGACTGTTCCATTAGACAAAAGAGACAATAATTAGTTACACCATAAGTTAGTATATGTAGTATATTTTGAATTAAAGAAAATGGACAAGTAGATAGGATCCTAAGTATGTAGGGGAGAGAGGAGTTGGGAGATTGGACATGGAACGCTGAAGTGAAAGAGCGAGATGAATGAGTGAGAGGGTGAGGGAGAGAATTGGGAGGGGAGGAAGGCAGTCAAATAAGAAGCTAACTGATAGCAGAGATGGAGAGAGAAAGAGTAAAGCCTTGTAGTTTAACAATTTTCAATCACCTGCGATGGCTGAGTGAAGGAGCAGTGGTCTCGTAACCGGGAGATCCCGGGTTCTTAATTTCTAATTTGACCTATTCCCTTTCTTATGAATGACCTTTATCTTTGACCTTTTTCTTTGTTTTTTTACGTTGCCAAATTGGGTATCATTTTGATGTCTTTATTATCATTATGCTGATATATATATTTTCGTGTTGATGTATTCGTGTTGCTTTTATTTGTGAAATTTCAGTACAACGGCTGCAAGACAGATTTTTAATAGATAATATTTTTTGTTTTCATATTTGTTTTTATTCTCTTCTCTCATAAAGAAAATTGTACATATTTTATAACATTTTATTTAAAAAGAAACAAATAATCTTCATATAGGCCTTAAAAGATTTGTTAGTAAACTGTTCATTTCCATAAAAGGTTACAAATAATTACCATAAATAAATAGATATCGAAATGATCATGATACTACAAGAGATTGGCTATTCGATCCTTTAATGAGCGTGATGAGTTAATAATATCTTTATTTTCTGGCAAAGATCCTCCCCTTTTCCTTCCTGTTCTTTCTCCTTCCTGAATCTGCAAATCTTCAGTTTGTGTTTCTTGCTCGTTTATTGTTTTTTATGTGGTGGGTTTTTTGTTAAACTTTTTTTTTTTGTATTTATCATCAGTTTTTTTAATTATGATTATTCATTTTTTTTTTTTTTTTTTTTTTTTTTTGAGGGGGGCGCTTTAAATCTGGAGATTACACTCGCCTTCTTAATCTTCCTCTACTTTCTGGTACTAGATGTGTTATAATCGAGAGGGATACTAGTTACTATGATACTGACTGCAGATGGGGAGGTCATGGGTTTGAGCTCCGGCACGACACTCATAATTATCATCAATAAACATTTGGTACATTTAACCGAGGTGTGGGACATGAAAGTGAGTTTCTGGTAGAATTTACTCCTTGAAATGCACTGTGCGCTAATAAAATTGTTCCTGGAGCCATTTCAAAGCTTGTGTAGATTGTGGTTTTCTGGCTTGTTTGCCATATGGAAACGTTGTATCATCCGCTCAATCTGACTTGCGTGCATGGAACAAATAAGCATTTTTCCATTAAAAAGTGAAGTTTTCTAGAATGTGCGTTTCTTTCCAGCATTGGGGCGCCCGGAAGTCACTCGGGTAACATTTCATAAAGTATAATATAAAAAGACCATATGCAAATTTTCTGTACTTTTGTCGGAAAAAATACATTTATCCAGCACAATGTCGTCTCTTTTTGCATTGGAGAAGAGCAAATAGCGAGTTTCAATCACACTTTGGCCGCTCTCGCAAGCTCTCACTCGTTTCACTGTGGTCAAGCGACTTTGGGGCAAGCGGTTAATGAAAATACTAATCGTTAGCTTTCTTCTGGTATTAAACTTGTTTTGATTGATTGTATAATTTTGTCGGAATAAAGGAAACAAAAGGCTTTACCAATAACTTATCAGCGTCTGAATTGACTTTTTGACCTTGAATTCCCTGTTGCAAGCGCACTAATAACATCATCTTCGCTAAATCGGTGTCTTTTTTCGTAAAATGCTACACTTTCACAATGTTTATAAATTTTGTTTAATTATTAGTAAGATATTTTGTCTGATATCACTGACGTTTTGGGTTTTATTCAACGAGCAATTTTTAAATAAGAGCCATTTTACTGTTTTATTTTACTGGATAGAAAGATGCATTTTCCAACCGCGCCAAATTTAATTTACGTTCCGACATTCTGTTATCAAAATGGATTCGTGTTGTTAAGAATCCACTGCTTTCTGCTCCACCAAACGTCCACATTCGGAGTCGTTTATCAACTATTCAAATTTATGGATGCTTCCTTCCCAGGTGTTTGTGTTGTTGAAGCATTTCATTCACCTGCTATCATTCTTTGTACTCCAATTGCCAGAACGCAAATTACATTTTGGTTTTATAGTTTCATCGGAGTCGTTTATCAACTAAATTATTCAAACTTATGTGTGCTTCCTCCCCAGGTGTTTGTGGTGTTTATGCATTTCATTCACCTGTTATTATTCTTTGTACTCTAATTGTTAGAATACAAAATGCATTTTGGTTTTATAGTTTCATGCAATAATTAAGTAAATAAAAGAGTATGTTCTGCACAATAAAAACAATGTGTGTCCCTATTGTACAATGTAATGTGTCCCCTCATTTTATAATAGTTAATTTACCCATTCATATAATGGAACTACCTGCCCGATGAAGCCAGTGGCCCGTGACCCCTGAGCACTCAACATCGTGTGGGAGTCAGTTTGTGGTCAACTTCTTTTATGAGACACTAAGGTTCCAGGTTCAAGGTTAATTTTATTTCTTTCTTTCACAACATTTTTACATATAATAATCGAACAAAAAACAGCATAAGAAAAAACAATTTAAGTGCAATTTTAAGTCGATATATAATCCAAATGAAAGAAAGTGGAGACCTTAGAAAAGCTGGGCTTGTAAGAGCAAGGTCCCCATATAAAATAATCCATCCACGTTTCACTTTTAACAAATGTTTCAAAGTTATCAAAACTACACATGATTAAATATGGGGGAAATATTTATAAAAGGGATAGCTTGAAATTTGAAAAGGAGAGGATGAAAATATATACAAAGGAATCGAGAGGAAAAAAGCAAACTGGAACGAGAAAAACAACAAAACAGAGAAAAACAGAGAAAGAAGAAAGTTATATGTATATAGGGGAAAATGATATTTGGTGTAAAGAAAAAGAAAAATAGAAGAGAGGAGGGGGGGGGTGGGGGGGGGGAGAGAGAGAGAAAGTGAAATGCTGACATTTATATTGAATAATCAAACATAACAAAAACAAAAAGATAATGCACGTTATCAATAACAATCGACAAATTATTACCTAATATCATTTCTGGTGATATAATTTTTACGTTAATTGTCGACATAGTTACTCAATAAATGTAATTTCAATTTGCGTTTAAAAACAAAGACACTGACAGATCTAGTTACATTGATAGGAAGTGAGTTCCAAAATTTGGGACCAGTACAAGCCAGCGTCTTCAGAGCAAAAGCAGTTCTTACACGTGGAATATGAAGTGCAGTTGCCTGCCTTGTAATATAGCTATGAATTTGATTGTTCTTTCGAAATATTTGTACTAACGCATTTGGGAGAGTACCATTTTCAAAACCATACATAATTGCGCCTAACTGTATAAAGTAAATGTCTTCAACCTTCAAAAGCTTATTACTGTAGAACAAAACATTAGTATGAGCACGATAGCTCGCATTAAAAACAACTCTAACCACCCTCTTTTGGGCAACAAAAATCTTATCTAATTGTGTTTTCAATGACTTCCCCCATGCCAGCACTCCATAATTGAGATAAGGCAAAATTAAAGTAGAATACAAAATAAGCAAAATTTCTTGTGGGACAAAAGAACTTAATTTATAAATTACACCAGTATTTCTAGACACGACTTTAACAAATATTAGTACAATGAGATGCCCAAGACAGCTTCTCATCAATATGTAGCCCAAGAAACTTGGTGGAAGTTACTCTCACAACGTTAACATCATCAAAAAATACATTTCCAGGTACATCCTTTAGGGAGTTACTAAAAAACATATAGTTTGTCTTTTGAAGATTCAAGGACAACTTATTTGCATGAATCCATAAAATAACTTTCTTTAATTCAATATTAACTGTATCTAACAAAACTTCAGGGTTTTTATGAGAAAAAAATACACTTGAATCATCTGCAAAAAATATGAAAGATAGTACATCAGATGAAAGATAAAAATCATTAATATATAATATAAAAAGAAGGGGGGGGGCAAGAAGGGTGCCAGGTAAAAATGTCAGAGGAAAAAATGTCAGAGGTAAAAATGTCAGAGGTAAAAATGTCAGAGGAAAAAATGTCAGAGGTAAAAATGTTAGAGGTAAAAATGTCAGAGGTAAAAATGTCAGAGGAAAAAATGTCAGAGGTAAAAATGTCAGAGTTTAAAATGTCAGAGGTAAAAATGTCAGAGGTAAAAATGTCAGAGGTAAAAATGTCAGAGGTAAAAATGTCAGAGGTAAAAATGTCAGAGGTAAAAATGTCAGAGGAAAAAATGTCAGAGGTAAAAATGTCAGAGGTAAAAATGTCAGAGGTAAAAATGTCAGAGGTAAAAATGTCAGAGGTAAAATTGTCAGAGGAAAAAATGTCAGAGGTAAAAATGTCAGAGGTACAAGCAAAACAAATGAGTGCCGTCATAATATCTCAGCACTTTTATCACTCAGAATGTCGAGACGTACAGCTACTGCATGGGCTAGTCTATTATATTCCTTTCTAAATGGATGTGTTGTATATCGTACATGTCCTGAGGATAATATAATGTGGAAAATAGATTTTGAAATTTATTTGTTTGTGGAAGCAATCAGAGAAGGTTAATCATCTAGCATAAACATGTAAGTATTGGTGTGTAGTGCAAGGTTTTGGAGTCATCAAAATGATAAAAAATTTGGCCCAGTCTTGGTAAAGTAACAAGCACTGTACACAGAAAGATATTGATATGGGACTACACAAACATATGGCATACAAATCGGGCAGGCATACAAAGATGTTACTTGTTATATCTGGGATATGAAGTCATTTGAAATAGATTTTCAGGGAATAACTTTTTTCTTTGATGTTCTATCACACTTGCATTGAACGCTCACAAATAATTTGTTTTACCTTTCCCCAGAACTCAACCTTCTCTTTAATTGATGTAACATGGGCGGCTTTCTGCTTTGTATCGGAGTAACAAAGCTGCTTATTGATTTTCTCCCAGACTATTTTATACCGCAATAGTAATCGACAATATTTTATTGCAACGCGCGCACTTCGGGAATGTGATGGTGCGGTTAGCATTGATAACATGGCTTTCTGCTTGTTTCAGAATATCAAAATACCAAGCCCTCAAGAAAGTGGAATTGTCGGAAATATGCATTTATTGAAAATTACATATAAAAGTAGACATTGCCACGCAGTTAAAATGTCCAACAATCTTCAAATATGAAGGAGAAGTAGGAGGGGGAAGTTTCAGAGATATCTGATCCTATTTTGGGGGCTGTACTGACTTTTCTTTTTATTTAATGATTACACCATGGAGCGACAACTCAGCCTATAAAACATGGCCAAACTTCTCGATTTTAGAAATCTTTTTCCCCAGAAGTTTGCTCAGTGTACCAGTACCATTTGCTTATACAAAAACATAATTACCGGTATATAAATATTGAATAAGGCAGAATAATGGGACATGGATGGTGTACTCCGAGTTTCACGCCTTGCAAGCGGTCATCAGACAACTGATAGCATTCTTCAAAGTACATGATTCCTCTACAACCAGGGCTCAAATTAATTTTTTGTCCACGGGGGCTCTTCCCCCCCCCCCCAAAAAAAAAGAGCCCCCGTGAGCCTTCTCACGGGGACTCTTTTATTACTGACGGGGGCTCTTTTTTATACAAATATCCATTGAATAGGTACCTATGATACTCCTCAATTATTTGCTATTTCATCATTATCATTTCAATCAGCATTTTCCCTCTTACAAATTTACAAGCTACATAGCTGTTACTGGCCTGTGTATATAATACATGTATATACGCATACAACACTGATCTTTATGATGTCTTTAACGTGACATATCTTCTTCTCCCCTTGCAAACGAGAAAGAAAACAAGGTCATTAAAAGGGATTAAGCGACAAATAATGATTGTGATTCAAATTGATGCGAATATTTGTTTGAATAGGCACTGCTATTCACCCGAATCTTCTTTGTAAAAACTATTTTTACAAATCTCAGCCATGCTTACTGAGTTGAGACGTTCCATTCAATGTAAAATACTCATTACAGAATACACTTCTCCTAATCTGAAAGTGATCTTACAACACAGTGGCAGATTTGCATGGCTGAGATTTGTAAAAGTCGTTTTTACAAAGAAGATTCTGGTGAAAAGCATTGTTTATTCAAAAAAAATCCTTGCATCAATTTGAATCACAATGATTATTTGTCGCATGATCCTTTTATTAAATAACCTTGTTTTTGTTTTTTTAATGATTACACCATGGAGCGACAGCTCAGCCTATAAAACATGGCCAAACTTCTCGATTTTAGAAATCTTAGAAGTTTGCTCAGTGTACCAGTACCATTTGCTTATACAAAAACATAATATACCGGTATATAAATATTGAATAAGGCAGACTAATGGGACATGGATGGTGTACTCCGAGTTTCACGCCTTGCAAGCGGTCATCAGACAACTGATAGCATTCTTCAAAGTACATGATTCCTCTACAAGTCTTATTTTGAGCGTATACCAAGGTGTACCCTTGGTATACGCTCAAAATAAGACTTGACTAATACAATAAGACAGCGGTGAAATAACGACTGCAGAATATCCCTCGCTGTTCTTTTTCGATAAGCCTGATATATAACCCGGGTGTAAACATAACAAACTTGTCACATGCTTTTGTTTTTATTTTATACCTCTAACATTTTTACCTCTGACATTTTAAACTCTGACATTTTTACCTCTGACATTTTTTCCACTGACATTTTTACCTCTGCCATTTTAAACTCTGACATTTTTACCTCTGCCATTTTTTCCTCTGACATTTTTACCTCCGACATTTTTACCTCTGACATTTTTACCTCTGACATTTTTTCCTCTGACATTTTTACCTCTGACATTTTTACCTCTGACATTTTTTCCTCTGACATTTTTACCTCTGACATTTTTTCCTCTGACATTTTTACCTCTGACATTTTTTCCTCTGACATTTTTACCTCCGACATTTTTACCTCTGACATTTTTACCTCTGACATTTTTTCCTCTGACATTTTTACCTCTGACATTTTTACCTCTGACATTTTTACCTCTGACATTTTTACCTCTGACATTTTTTCCACTGACATTTTTACACCGAGCCGCTCCTGAACCAGCTAAGAGCGATGCCACTCACTCCATAATATGACAATTTACTTATCAAAATTTCATGATCAACCGTATCAAACGCCTTAGAGAAATCCAAAAATAAACCAATTGTATGAAGGTGACCATCTAGTGCTTGAGCTATTTTATCAACAAAGTGTAAAATTGCATGTGTAGTGGTGTGCTTTTCACGAAAGCCAAACTGGAATTTTGAAAATATTTTAGTCTTTTTTAAAAATATCACTGTTCTATCATATATAAGCTTTTCTAAAAGCTTTGAAAAGGATGTCAATAATGAAATGGGTCTATAATTACTCAATGTTTGAGGATCACCCTTTTTAAATATTGGCACTACCTTAGCAATTTTCATTTGTCTTGGTACAATACCAGATAAGAAAGACAAATTATAAATATGAACTGTGGTATCACAATTCCATGTATAATATCCTTAATTAATTCATTTTTTATGCCATCAAAGCCAGGACTCTTATTACTTTTAAGCGAGCTCACAAGCTTAAACAATTCTATTTCATTTGTGGGCATTAAAAACAGGCTATCTATATTGGGTTCTTGCATAAACTCAATAAAGCTTTTCTGACATCTAGGAATAGAGTCCTGAAGTTTCAGCCCGACATTACAAAAATAATCATTAAGATTGTCCACAATAATTTGTCTATCTTCTACGGAACAACCATTCACATTTATACATTTGATATTTGTAGTTTTTACTGATTGTTTAAAAAAACTTCTAATTACTTTCCATGTATTCTTAATATCATTAAATGTCATTTGAAATTGAGCAGAGTAATATTTTTTCTTATCATCACGCAATACAGAAGTAAGAGTATTTCTATAATTAGAATACTTCCTCCACAAAAAATCAGAGCTTCTCTTTTTATATTGATAATACAACTTATTTTTCTTAGTAATTGACCTTAATATTGATTTAGTTATCCATGGCATACGAGGAACTTTATTATAATAAAGCAAACGTTTCCATATGCGACAGATAAGAACACATGTATAGCCTATGAATGTAAGTAAGCATATATGTCGGACCGCCAGCTTTAACTTCTCTCCGAGGGACTTGGTAATGAGGAATAATGTCGTACAAAAGGATAGTAGCACTTGAATTCGATTTAGAACCCGGGACGCCTACAAGACCCCCACTCTTTACCTTTGAGCCGTCGCACATCATTTCCTAGCAGTAAAGTACTTTACTGTGCGGACCACTGTGAAAAACAGATATCTCGTAAAAAGGCGAGAATGTGTGTACATTTCAATTCATTTCTTTTCCCCAAAAGATATCATCACCTCATACATGCCATACCCGAAATTACAGCTTTATATAGGCCACAATTTCTATTCTATACTTCGTTGGTATTTATAGTAGACAATATAATTTCAGATAATAGCGATTTATAGCAATTGAACAATCATCCTGATCGTGACAAAAAGGGGAACCGGGAAGTTAAAATCGCTTCTGCAAGAAATGAGGAAGTTTGTAAGCAATATTTTTTCCGAATGCGATGAAAAGTAATTAAATCTCGAGAGCTTTGTTATTCAATGTTGTGACAATTTTCCTCATCATTTTCATACAGATTTCAAAAAGAAGAAAGCATATGGAGAGGTGATACGGGGAAAGAAAATTTTCAAGTCCCCGAAGGCAAGAAGCTTGTGTGGGCTACACCTGTTCAAATTACATAGGAAAGGAAGAACAGTGATTAAGAAACAAATTCATGTTAAATATGATGATAAAGGAGGGAACACAAAACAAACAATCAGTGACGTATCCAGACATTTCATTTCCTCAAATCCCACTCGCCTATTCCATATATGGAAGATGCCAAATGGGGGGGGGGGGGGGGAGGGGAGGGGGGGGGGTCAGGGCAAGAGAGGATGAACTCAAATATGGCTATAATATCAATAGCGTATTTGAAGGGGAAAGGGGGACAGTTTGTATCATCTCCCCCCCCCCCCCCCTCCTCCCATTTCCGAAAAATTTCTGACCAAGAAATAATAGTGACAACTGACTTTTCAGTTACAGCAGGAACTATTGTGAGGTAAATAGCCATCAAATTGCTGTTAAAACCTCGAAGCTCATAAATCGCGCTTAAATATTTGATCAAAAAGTTTCTGCCCAAAGGATGATTTGAGACAATCAAGCAAAACTAATATGTGTATATTATAACAGACTCAGAGTAAAACTTGAATTCGTTAATACTATGATTTGAAATAAATATGAAATATCCTCAAGCATAAAAATCAATAGAAATTATGCACTGGTCATTCGATAGAAGATGTGAGCCAAGTTTGTATCAAATTTTCTTGATAATGATAATAATAATAATGATGATAATAATAATAATTATTATAATAACAAGAACAACAACAACAATAATAATAGCAATACTGTTACTAATACTACTACTACTTCTATCACTACTTCTACTAATGATAATAAAAATATAAATAATGATATAAAAAATAACAATAATATTAACAACAATGATAATGATAACACTGAAATATAACAACAATAAAAGTAATAATAATAATAACAATAATATAATGACAGTAACTTAAGTTATCAAAATTGCAATGGTCAATATCAGGAAAACTACATAATGCAAGTTTCTTCTGGATTTCCTCGCTTTGAAATTCGAGATTAGTTTACATACGTAAAACCTTCAACAGCAACCAAAGCGATTGGTTTCTCTTGTTCCCGCTCTCCACTGCTCTCGTTTGTCCGTTCCGTGAAAATCTCAGTAACTCCTTGTCCAAATGTTTCCATCGTCTTTGATGCTTCGAAATACACGATTTAGTTGGTAATCGACGTGAAAATTAAATAAATTATGAAAATGTCATCACCCTCGCAGCCGGTTTTGTCTTCCAAATTTGAAACCCCAAAGACAACTGTATCAGAAAATGAATAACACGGAATGAATTGTTTAGCGAATTATAGCGGCACTGTTCACATTCCGTCTAAAATGCATTACTTGTTGCAGCTCGCAAAAGGAAGAAGAATCGCATGATTATATTGTCCCTGTTGTTTGCTCTGCACATTCTGAATGTTTTGACGGAATATTATTGGTAGCAGTCCGCCTGCTGATGAAAAATGTAAACAAAATGAGAATTTATGTTTTCATATATTTTTGCGATGCGCGCGCATTAGGAGCCTGATTGATTAACAGCATAGCACAAGGACCAGGAGCGGCGATCCGGGGGACTTGGGACACGTCCCCCTCCCCTCTCAATTTTGTTTAGGGCAGAGGGTCGTCCGTCCCCCCCCCCCCCCCCCTCCGGCGGAAAATTTGAAAAGTTCAAAAGAAAAATGTATAGCAAATACTGATTGAAGACTGCAACACACTTTTAAGCTCTGTCCGGGCCCAAGAGTGCAGCGTTTAGACTAACAGAAATCCAAAAATCTTCTCGTTCGGTCGTTACGCTCTCTTGCATTCCTTTAACCAAACAGAACTTAAATATTCCTAGCCCATTTTTCCTAATTGAGGTGTCATATGAAAGGGCAGAAAATGGGCTTTCTAGAAATGTGTTCTTTTTTTGATTGCCTCTCTTCAAATTGATTTCAATCACTCATGCGTGAAATATGCATCATATGAGATGGATTAAATTAAAGAGGAGGATCTAAGCCTTACAAATATGTGTCATTTATTGATTACAATTGTGATTAAGTTATGATAAAACATCGATAGTTCTCGGTTTCGTTTTTTCGAGGACGTACGCACTGCATATAAACCGTGAAAAATGTATGTAAGAACCTAAATAAGAGGAGGAGTAAATACAGCAAGCCCTAACCCAGTTCCTGATTATTCCCCCATTATTTTTAATCGCTCTGTAATTTAGCGATTTAAAAAAAAAGTTTGATGCAAGAATTTCAAATCGAAACTTTTAAGTTAAATCATATTGACGTGACATCGCTATTATTATCTTTAAATTGGCAGCATAACGCAAAGGCTCAAAATATTAACCTTCTAACTTCAGTCAATCTAAGTTGAGTAATAATCTGTGGAAATTACAATTTGCACGTGTGTACTGTATGCAGCTGAGTTGTCGACTCTGAACGCACTGAACTTCAAAATTATCATCATGGACATGAATTCTTTCGGATCACCAGGTGGGGCTGGGAAGATGGATAGCGCCAAAAAGGGCCAGATAATGGAGGAAGTAAGGACACAAATCGCATTAGCGAATGCACAAGAATTATTACAGGTGAGTAGTGTAAAACGATCATGAAACATGACTTTGAAACTTTGTAAAAAAATAAATACACGTTCATGCACAATCAATGGGGTGGGACTGAGGCTGAGCTGAGCTGAGCACACATAGCAGCATTACTTTAAACTATCCTGGCTGTGTTTAACTTTAGATAAGGCCAAAAAAAAATTGTTTGGTTGTCCTCGATTGCTTTTCTGGAGTAGGGGCAGGCGGGCGGATTTTTTATTTTTTATTTTTTTTTAAATTCATTTTTTGTGTGTCTTTTTTTTTTTCTTTTCTTTTCTTTTTCCCCCATTTTTTTTTTTTTTTTATAATAATTTTTTTTTCCATGAAAAAAAAAAATCATTGGGATTGTCAAGCATTTGAACAAAAGTCTATCAAACACTTTAATATGGTAAAAGACTAGTTTAATGTACAATGAATATCAACGACCTGCCAGACAAGCTCACCTATCCAGTACGTCTCTTCGCAGACGACGTCATCATCTACCTAGCGATCAAGGGCAAACAAGACCCTCTTGAACTACAGGAGGACTTTAAAGGTACTATGTCTCTTTTGCAGCCAACCTCAAATTCTGTAGAACTTTTCAGGAATTATGAATATGGCATGTATGTCCTATCTGTGAAATTTAAACGTTAGCAGTGTCCTCATATTCAAATTATGCAAGGAAACCCGTTTACTTGCTAGACTTCACTGTCAGACACTATTGAGTGACTGACTGGCTTTTTTTCTTCTTTGGTAATAACATACATGAAAAGAGTTGTAAAGGGTACATGAGCATTTGTCTACATCAATAACCCACTTCTTGTGATGGCCAAGATTAAACTGATTGAATCTTTGCGCAGCATAAAACGTATGACCATTCCGTACAATTGTCTGAAAATCAAGACTATTACTTTTGGGCTCTATAGCCCTAAAGTCGATTTGACAACTAATCGTCATTATTTTCCTACTTGAAGACATTTTCAAGCCCCACCTTTTTTAGGGAAGTTCTAAATTAAAATTATCTTTCAAATGCAGTTGGAATTTAACCTTTTCATTTTTTTGGCCTGCAAATGGGACATAGTACCTTTAATAAGCTTGCTGAATGGTCCTCTGAATGGATGATGGAGCTCAATACGGACAAGTGCAAGACCATCACAGTGTCCAGGAAGAGCCAGGAACGACACCAGTACATCCTGAACAACACGCCACTGGAAGCAGTCTCATCAACCAGGTACCTTTGCATCACAATCACATCTGACTTGAAATGGGACAAACACATCACAAGCATATGCCAGAAAGCAAACACCCTTGCCTTCCTCAGACAAAATCTCTGGATCAACTCACCAAAACTGAAGAGTACTGCCTACAAAGCTCTAGTAAGACCACTCATTGAGTACAGTTCTACAGTTTGGGATCCCTCCTCTGCAAACCACATCCATCAAATAGAAATGGTACAAAGACGGGCCGCTAGATTCACCCTCAATCGGTACCATAACACCTCTAGTGTGACCTCCATGCTCCAACAACTTGACTGGACCACACTCGAGCAACGTAGAGAAAATTACAGACTGGTGATGCTGTACAAGCTCCACAACAACCTGGTAGCACTCGACAAAGCATCCTACATCAACCCTGTCACAAGATTCTCCATGACTGCCCATGCGCATAGCTACCAAGTCCCCCGTTCAAAATCTGAGCAACATAAGCAGTCCTTCTTCCCCAGGACTGTGAGGAGTTGGTATGTGCCTCATCCGTCAATGCCTTCCGTCAATGCCTGACGGGAGGCAGCAACTAAGTCCGGGAACTTTTTACTTGCACCTTGTAAATAGCTTTGCACCATTCACCTTGTTTTCGTAAGCACACACACACTCATCAGTCTGCAAGAATCTTCAACTGTGAAGGAGGTAGACTTAACCCAAAGAAGAAGAAGAAGAAAGTATTTTGGGCTTTGAAATACAGCACCTTTTAAATCTCCATTGTACTAGATCTACTTACTTGCGCCCTTTTATGTAGCAAACAATGCCTAATCGGTGACCATTGGTCCCCCATGATCCTCTTTATCTTGTATTAACTGAGAGCTGATTTTATCTGTCCAGTGACCTTGCAGGGTGGTCTAATCCCTCCTGTAAACTAGTACATATGGGCTTTAAAATGAGTTTAAGAATGCTCAGAACCTGATTTGAATGAATGGCATTTTGACATTGAAAAATAAAAATGGCAATTTTAAGAAATACCTAATTGCGTACTGAAAAGACCAAACTGGCAACGGGACGCATTTTGATCCTTGCAAATTCATAAAATGGTATGTTTGGCATTAAAGATTGCTACGAGCGGCCCGAAAATGACGAGCGGGTGGTCGAAGACAACCAAATGTTTTTTTTGTTTGGCCTAATTTAAGATGGGCAACACGTACTGCACTGTTCTGCAGTACATTCACGCAATATTTTGTAAAAAGCTGCTGTAGATCTACGCTACTTTCAAGTGATATGATAAACATTTTAATGAAACATTGTTGATATTAATTATTAAAAATAAGTAACGAATGGAATGGAATTTCCTGCGCTTGTTCAGAAACCTTTCCAAAATTTGACCCGTAACTCCGGCGTAGAGATAACGTACCCAAAATGAAGTAAATATTCATTAAATGTCCAAATAAAGATCATGAGTTAAAAGTCGTTTATTACCTGTTTCATGTCAATTTTCTTGTTATTTTTGCAGTATTTTTCAGGAAAACGTTGATATTAGTAGACACTTTTCACAGGTTTCACGGCAAACTGCTGCACAATACAAGTGCATACTGATGGTGGGTTGCGGGCGAGCGTGCGCCTGTGTGAAGTTATATCTATCTTAATGTCTGGGAGACTCTGATCCTCATTACGGTAGATAACTTCACACAGGCGCTCGCCCGCCCGCAAACCACCATAGGTATGCACTTGAATTGTGCAGTGGTTTGCCAACCTGGCCCCGGTGGCCGTGTTCAGCTACGTTCCGCCATTTTTTAAAGGTAGACCTCAGTGCACAAAAATATTGCAGTTGTTGTTTATCGTTCCGATCGGTTGTAATTAACACAGCTCAGGTCAGCGGCAGGAGATACTACAGCAAGACGCTAAATTCACCGAACTCCGTGCATATGAGATTTTGATACTGGGGTGATTGCGATTTTGCTTACCTTCCAAGTGTTCCTGATGATAACTAGTCTAGTTAAGGTGCAATTTACATTACAAAAACGCTGACCTCTTAGTCTTACGAGAGATTGCGATTTTGGTTACGGCTGAAATGCAGAGACGCCATTTGAACATGAAAAATAAACTGTTTTACCGTTGCCTTTTTGACACTTTATTAGCAATTAGTTTAGTAAATGAAGGCACACGCAGAGAGTTCACTAAATTTAGCAAACTCCCTGAGCTTGTGTGTCTTTTACACTAATCTTATTGTCTTGCAAGAAACAAATTTCTGCTGATATTCATAATTTATTTATAATATTGAAAATTGAAATGCTTTCGATCTGATAATGCAATTCACTGTTTTTCCCCTTTTCTTTGATGTCTACAGAAAATGACTGATAAATGCTTCAAGAAGTGTGTGAATAAACCAGGCACAACACTAGATAGCTCAGAGCAGGTAGATATCATTAGTTTTTTTTCCATAATGATGCAATTTAGAGATTCCCAGCTATCGAAATGGTCAGGGGAAAACTTTGAAAAAAAACTTTAAATAGCTCCTTTTTGAGGCACGGACAAGTGAGGAACTTTAAAAAAAATCACTCAAATCAGAGAAATTGTTTTAATACAACCTGGAAGAGAAGACCTTTGAAACTTTTTCAAAGACATTTTGCAGATGTTCAAACTGGGAGTAGGTTGACTGAAATTAATTCAGGAGAGAAAACTGGGGGGGGGGGGGGGGGGGGGGGGGGGGGAATCTGGATATTTTTTATTTCATGAAATGCTACATGTATGAACTCTGGTCATCTTTTATAGGCAAACCTGGGCCCTGTTTCATAAAACTTTATTACGTTGTATCTGAACAAACCTTATGACCTAAGTTTTTCTTTGTGCTGTCAAGATTATGTTTTGTAACTGACTATTAAATGTTTTATATCTTTGTTACAGAATAATGATACAGTAAAGGAAATAAAATTCATCCCTGTTTTTCTAACTTACATTTGCATTGGTTCTCGTACTTTCTCTGTTCTGTCTCTCAGAAATGCATCGCAATGTGCATGGATAGGTACATGGACTCCTGGAATACAGTTTCAAAGGCATACAATGCAAGACTTCAACGGGAGCACAATAAACATTAATCAAACAACCTTCCAAGATTAGATAGTTAGTAGTTTTGTACATCAGCTCAGTCTTCAGTGATGATCAGACGTGGCGGCCTACCTCACAATCATTGAGAAGTTGCCAGGAAAGCACTGCAGCACTAAGAGGAAAATCACAATTTGGACGGTTTGGAGCAAGAATGGCATTGATTAATTCTAATACACACACAGTTACTGCCGTTCTGACTCTGAACAGATCATTTTTGAATTTTTACTTTATTTTACTTGAAAATCAGTCTCATGGTTTTAGCATCCTATGAAAAAAGACAGGCAGTCATAAGATCATGATAGTAAAGGGCCTACCATGACTCGTAGATTGCCTTAAAGCCCCACTGTACTACTTGTAGCTACTTGCTCCCTCTATATAGGAAACTTCCCCAATCGGTGCCTGTTGTTCCCCCGTGATCCTCTTTTTCTTATGTTAATTAAGAGCTGAGTTGAAGAGATAGCCACCTGTCAATGACCACGCTGAGTGGTCTAATCCCTTCTGGCCTAACGGCCTTTAAACTAAAGGTTGTCAAGATTGTGAGATTTTAATCTGCTGGTCAATCTTACAATTGCTAGACTGCTGTGCAAGAGTGAACATTTCCTCCCAAGATACTTTTATGCCTGGATAGATACATGGGTATTTTAACTATTTTTTAAAGAGTGAAACTTCTTTTAACACCCATTATTTTTAAGTTATGATCTTGTTTCATAGAATTTAATGAAGTGTTGAAAAATAAATATGTGGTACCCAATCTATAGAAACTCATGAAATTTATAAGTTAATACAGGTGTACTGTAGCTGGCAAAAATTATAATGTCCATCACTTGGTGGAGGGCACTTTAAAAGCCTGTATGGAATAATTTGTGTACTTGTGAGAAATTTGTTATGATATTCTACCAAAGAAAGAGAAACGATTCTACACATTTGATGTGTATGTTAGTACACATGATATTCTGGGATGTGAGTTTATTCAGCAAAACCATGCAATCATCATTTGCGTGTATACTGGGTAGCTTATTTTGTGTCATTGTTTAGCTATCATTTGGACATTTCTATAATCATAGCGGGTCACTGAAATGAACTAGGGGTGTATTAAAAAGCTGTGTTACAAGCAATTTGAATTTTGCTATGCGAGTAGTCTGGCTGTTTTCTATCTCTTCAGACATATGTTGAGGTGTATCACTGTAAGGCATGAACTTAATTTCTTATAGAATGACATTTTGAATGAACTACTCATTTATTATGAGTTGGTTATAGAGTTGGTTTGAATAACAAGGTGAAGATTTACAGTTAACTCTGCTTAAGTCAAATCTGTTGGGACCACAAAAAGTGGTCTGACTTCTGCAAAATTTGACATTGGAAGTGTAAACAACACTTACTTTGCATAGTTTAGTCAGAAAATCCATTCAACTTAGGGGAAATTAGACTTGTGCAACTTCAAGTTATGCAGAGTTAGCTGTACATGTATTCACATTTTTTATTGCAGTGGCCTGTTATGTGTATTCCATTTGCTGGTCATGAAGATCAATGTTTCAGTACCAAGGAACTATTAAAAAGGAAGAATGCTGAAGAAAAAGGAAATGTTGTCAGATGAGAGCCAGAGGGGCGTTAATGCTGTGTTAAAGTATGTGAGTTAATGCCTTTCTGGCTCCAAATAGATGAGTTATCAGATAAGTGAGGTAAAAATTGATTTTAGAAAAGATAATGACTTACCCGGTAGTATAATTCCATTTTACTTGCAAGGCTTTTACAGTTTGTGGGACATTTGTTACGCTCACTGTTTCTATTTTCCACAAAGCGGGCAATGAGTATGTATGATGGAAGTGTATTATAACCATAGCACTGCATGATATACATGTAGAGTCAGTGTAGCGTTTTCATAATGTTCAGCCCTACATGATTACAGGTGGTTTTTTTGCAACTGGCCAGTGTACATGTGATGTACATGTACTATGTAGTATGTTTCACTCAGTGTATTTATGATCATATTGTATGTACAATGGGACTCCACTCTTCCCTTTTTTGCCACGGGGGTCCAAAGTTGAATATTTTATACTGTAGCCCAGTCACACGAACGAGATCGACACCAGATCGAGCAAAATATTATATTACCCCGACAATATAGCCAAGAAGCGTACAATATGGAGTTGATTTGATGGTGGGACTGTGGTATAGTGAAACCTGTACAGAAAGACTGCTCAAGGGAGAATAGGCAGGTGGTCTTTATGTACAGGTTCCTTTGGTACACTTTTAAATAAGAAACACTATTCAAGGGAAACGGAAAATGTGGTCTTTAACTCTTTATAGACGGATGGTCTTTCTATGCAGGTGGTTGCTAAAGCAGGTTTGATTGTATTAGTGTTGAGTCCTGTGTGTGTAACACAGACGAGGACTAGACTGATGTTTGTGAATTAGATTGATTGATTGATTCACCTTTACCAAATTTGTACATGTATATTAAAAAAAAAAGTCTTAAATTATACAGTCTTGCGTTCATTGCATCTTTCTTCTGCATCTTTGTGTTTTTGCTGATTACTGGTACAGGGACAGTAATATGATAATTGAGAGTGAATTCTTATTGGATTATTGTACTTGTAATTTATGTAGATTCCCTCATTATCAAGTTACAAATAAAAATATCCATGTAAAATTGACTCCATTTACATTGTTTATAGGCAAATGACCAATCAAGAAAAAAAAATTGTCTTGCACTCAACAACTAAATCGCAATGGAATGGAAAGTCAAAAGCGGACAATTTCAGCCCTTTATTCAATAAAGAGAAATAGCATTAGTATGCCCATATTCACTGCTTTTCTTAAAATATTTTAATCAGGACCCTCCCCCCCCCCCCCCTCAAAAAAAAAAAAAACACCTGTAGACTCTCTCTCTCTCTCTCTCTCCGTCTCTCTCTCAATTCTACCCCGCTATATGCATCTCTCATACTCTCTCCTATCCCAAAAGTGATCTCTTTCTCCCCCTCTCATCCAGGCCTGAATCTTTATTTCATTCTTCATCTCTCCAGTCTTTCTCTCACCCCCCCCCCCCCACCCCCTTCTCCAATTTCTCTTTCTCTTTCTCTCTTGACCATATTACATGTACTTATCTGTCCTTTCTCTTCTCTGTCTTTCTTTTTGTATGTCCCCTTCTCTCTCAATCATTTTATGTATGAGTGTCCTCCCCCCCCCCCCCCCCCCTGTTTCTATCTGTCTTCTGTCTATTTCCTCTTTTTCAAATATCCTCAACAATTATTCAAACAAGGTATTGTTTTATCTCCAAGTCTTTGTATCCTACATTGTAGTTCTCCTGAGCCCTGATATATAAACAAGGCAATATATATCATCCAAAGGTTTTTAAAAGATTCCACTGTACTTTCCTATTTTTGCCATATAGTACATGTATTTGTATGTACATGTACATATATGTGTATATGGCAGTTTTAAACTGTTGGAATTTCTTATCTCTTTTTTGGGGGTAATGATTGGGAGTTTGGGACAATATGATTTATTCTTGATAAAAGGTATATCTTCACACAACTCTATTGATCAATCTCTATGACCCTTTGGTTTGATTAATAAAGTTATGAGAAAACCTCTATCGAGAAGAAATTTATATATCAAGAATAAATTGTCACAACCACTTCATCAAAAGAGAACCACAAATGGGCAGCAGTGTACATGTAGTCATCTGTTTTGTGTTAGGGACTTTTAGATTTCCATGTCGACATAGTGGACTGCTAAGTGTGAGTTCTTTTAAAGGCCCACTGTACTACTTGTAGCTACTTGCTCCCTCTATATAGAAAACAATGTCTAATCGGTGACCATTGGTCCCCCATGATCCTCTTTTTCTTATGTTAATTGAGAACTGAGTTGATGAGATAGCCACCTGTCAGTGACCTTCCTGTGTGGTCTAATCCCTCCTAGCCAAACTAGTACAGATAAGTTGTACGGCACTGGCAGTGCCTTAAAAGGACGTTGCCCGTAGCAGTCCACTATGTCGACATGAAAATCTAAAAGTCCCTAATATATCATGGACCATACCACATTTGTTTGATTTGTTGACAACTGTGAATTACTAAACAGGTCCACATCTGAATGATTTCATGGCATAGAATTTTCCTTTAATACAATAAACACACATCACATCAAAGATATAAAGTTATCTATAAAAACAAAACATGCATTTCCGAGGGGAGGGAGATGGGAGGGTGATTTTACAATAAAGAGCAAAAGAGTTATTTAAAGTATAAAATAGGTTTAAAACGCCTTCTTCCCATCACAGTATATTTATATACATGCTTGTCATAAATTACTGATAACATGTCAACACATAAAACATGCAATTATTTCATGCCTTAGTTGGACAATGAGGGGGCTATATAAGGTGTAAAGAATTTGCACCTTGCTGGCTTTACAGCTGATGATCCCAAATAAATGCAATGCAAAATTATAGTACACACAGCAGGATGAAGAGGAAACTTGCTCTGTGAAGTACAACGTAATTTCTGTCTAGAAGACAGTCGGTGGAAAATAACTCATAAAGGTGATGAAAATAGAACAGCTGCAAATTAATTTTATTAAACTCTTAAATCATAAGTGCATAGTGGGAGAGAGGTAGGAACAGGAATTTTTTTAGTAAGTGTGAGTTAAAAGGAAATCAAAGCAAATATCATCAGACCAGTTAACTGCACTGCTACAAAGAGTGATTGGTTAGATCTGCAACACATGTACACAAGTCTCAATTATGGATCGCAGAGAAAGGAAATAAAATATGATAATGCCAACAAAAATATGTTCAAGAAGAAAGTATTTACATATGTCTTGTACATTTGCATTATTACAGTTAATAATAATTTTGCATCATGGACATGTTATGTACAATTAATAACTATCTATAAACTGCTAAGGCTCTACAACCTATCATACATTTTTATGTTTAGATGTATGAAATTATGGTTAAATTAGATAACTGAAATTAGTTTTTATCAACATTAAATTCTGGTCTTTAATTTTCCAGTAATATGTAATATGTTGACTCATTAAACTGTGAACAAAACGGTGAGTCATATATGATTTAATACACTGTCATCTGGGTAAGAAATTAATATTGTTAGCTGTCTTTATTTGGGGTGGTGGGGTATGGGTAGCAATTTTCAATTTTCAAATTGAAATATAAAGGAACTTGGGTTATTTCTCACATTCAACCTCCCATTAATGTGCCCTTTGTATCATGCTATATTAAGTAGATGTATACATGTATGTACATTATTAAGATTATGAAACTGAAAGAATATTGCTACTACGGATAACATGAAGGGTCTTCGCAAACTTCCTGCAAAATGGACAACCTTCACACTCCGAGCATGAGCAGATGATTTCATGACGTTCAACAAGGGGCAAGCGACAGGGGAGATTCCTAAAGAAAACATCACCAACTACCTTGATAATAAATAATCTATTTCTTTCCACTGTCTCTACTTTTCTCTACTTCCCTTGACTTATCATGGTTGCCCCACATAAAGCAAGTCTGACCCGAGAGCAGACGCACATCTAAACATCGCACACTGATATCAATGTTTTGGTTCTGAATATGTCGAATCTGGAATGCTTCTGGTGTTATTCAAGCATACTAATACTTGCTCGTTTAGTTTTGGCCATTTCTGAAAACAAAAATAAAATTTAACCTTGAGATAATACTGCAAAACAAATACCTTTCTGAAAATGATATAAATGGAGAACACACATTATCTCTAGTGAAGGAAACAAGGTGGAAATCAAAAGAGATACAAGTACATTAATAGAATGATACGATACATGTACGTCAACTCAAGACAACATTGGGAAGTGGAATCATCATTGCTGTATTAAAGCACTCAATTGTCCATTGGTCAAATCCTTGCATTGGTCACAGACCATTCTCTGTCGACAGATGACCGCCATGGGTGGTAAACTTTAGATGGCCAATCCGAAGACGCTAACGATACAGTACATGGTCTTGTTTTCCCATCTGACCGTACAGCTGCCGTCCGTGGAGTTATCCCAGAAACAGGAACTAGCTGTGTGGAGGCCTGCACCGTTCTTCTGCATGATCACGCATGTAACTGAGAAGAGGAAAGCATAGATAGATAGAAATGGTTTATTAAAAAGATCATCACAGCCAACGGCTGAATTGCGATCCATTTCACAAAGATACAATATACCATTGCAATTCAAATTCAAATAACACAAAATATGACATAAATAAAAAATCAAACATACATGTATAGACACATTTCAACAACAAAAATTGATCAAAATCAAATTTTTGTTTAAAAAGAAAAAGAAAGGGATAGGTGTAGGAGAGGGAGAGGGAGACAGAGAGAGAGAGAGAGAGAGAGAGAGAGAGATAAAGGGGGAAAGAGACAGACAAAGGGGGGTCCTTATATTACAGATGAGGGGAAAACATACAAGACAAAAATTAAGAACCTCAATGTAGTGCTGTAGTCAAACGTTTAACCGTCCGGTATCCAACCACCCATGGCGGATTCCGTTTTCAATTGGACGGTTTCGTTTTCCCGTTTTTTTTTTTTTTTTTTTTTAAAGTTTCGATTTATGCCCCTCCACCTGGCACTATGCCTGGCAATGTCTCCCAGCTCAGTAATCGGTGTGATGACTTGCCACTTGGAAACTAGAACAACACTCCAATTTGTCTGTCATCTTGGTTTGAAAGTAATCTTTGTAATAGATCTCAATATATATTCATCCAAGTTTAACACATGGTGTACCACAAGGTTCTATCCTAGGTCCTCTACTGTTTTTAATTTACTTTAATGATCTTACACATTATTCTAAAACGACATTGTTACTATTATTTGTGACTAGTTCACAAGCACAAATCGGCGCCTTCAGTTAAATCACCTTCCTGCTTTTTCACACGGCTAAAAAAAAATTTAAAAAAAACGATTTTTTTTTTTTTTTTTATTTATTTATTTATTTTTTTATTTTTTTTTTTTTTTTTTTTTAATTTTTTTTTATATTTTTTTTTTCTTAATAAATCGTTTAACCGAAAACCGTCCGGTTTTGACAGGCGGTTAAACGGAATTGGAGATATCCGTGATGTTACAGCACTACCTCAATGCAATGATTTCCTATTTCATTATTCAATAAATGACTGTCCTTTGCAGCCTTTAGGCTTGGTCAGATATAACACTGTATTCCATCAGAAGAAAAAAAAAGAGCTGCTTTTTATTGTTTAAATATGTTAATGAATGGTATAAACTGGTCACAACAAAGGTGCTACTCCAATTGATTGAGAACTGTGTTATAAGAGACAGAAATTTGAAGCATATTGGCAATATGCTTGCACTTTATTTTTCATGAATAAAAAAGAACAGTTTTGCACTAATTTAGGGGAGCCTTCCAAAGTTGCGACTGTGCCCGGACGCGTCGGGGCGCGATGAATAGAACAGTCGCGTCCCAAGAGACGCATTGAGGCGCAAAGGGGCGCGAAGGGGCGCAATAGTCACCCTCACCTGATTCTTGCATATGAAAAGAAACTGTCTATTGTTAGTATAAACCCGCTCTATTCTTCTTGCGCCCTTTTGCGCCCCACCAGGCGATGGAAGCTTATCTCTCCCGTCATTGTTCTCGCTCGTGATGCGCGGTACAGCTTTAACTTGATATACAGAAAGTATTTGTCGGCCAAAGCCTGTCTTCCCCTCCTCCGGTTTTCGTTCTGATAAACTTTCCATTGTTTGTAAAAAAAAAATGATGTATTCTTCTCGCGTCGCGATCTATTCTTCTCGCGCCGTTTTGCGTCGTAACGGGCGGGGTATTACCTTTCCAATCATTGTGGCGAAGCTTTGCGATGTACATTACTACAGCACAGCATGAACTTGTCTGGTGGGATCGTCTTTGTTTTGGGGGGCAATCAACACACTCGTTCATCTTGATCAGAATAAATTATGATTTATTTTTGTTGGGTTTAATACGCCTCCTTTTAATTTTTGTGACGACTGTATGAAATGTGAAATAAAGATGACTATGTACGATTAATGGTTGGTTAATTGCGAGCTTAATTGTCCCCAACAACAAAAAATTAAAGAGGAATGATGTGAATGACTACATGTATGCGGTTATAGTCGGCAAATTGATTACTGTTTGGGTCGCTTGTGTATGTTTGTAATTTGAATGATTATTAACATATTTGTATAATTCCCACATCGCGATATGATTCTAGCGTCGTATAATGGACAAAGGAATTATCTTTCTCTCCCGTCATTCATATTCACGCTACGCGTTGCACATCGCCACAGCCTGAGCTTGGAAGAATTTATATTTTGTCAGTCAAATCCTTTTTTGTTCTCCTCCCATGACTTGGTTCTAATAAATTGAAGGTTTGCTTATTAGGGATAAGAAGGATAACATCAAACAAACTATTTACTCAAGATGACGCTCTTTTCATTTCACCTCGCTGTTTGATAAAGCAGAGTTTTACGGAGCGAATACAAAAGAAAAGTTCGCTCTAAGGCCAAATAAAAAAATGTTTTATTAGTGTCCTGTTTTTTCGAAAACTAGGAAGGAGGAGGCCCTCTCTTTTCTTTTCTTTTTTTCTTTCAAAATGGCCGCTCAAAATGGCCGCTCGGTACATTTTCCCTGACAGTCGGGCTATTTTTCAAGATAGCCGCCGACATTTTTTAACTTTTAAACAAAATCAGTAATAGATCCATTTTAGTATTGTTTTTCATGTTTTTTTTTCAAAAATTATTTTTAAAAAAAATTAAATAAAAAAAAAAAAAAAAAAAAATTCCCCGAAAATAAAAAAAATAGGAGGCTGCCCCAAAAAAGGAAGCGGGCGGGGACGCTAAACATGTTTATTTTGTTAAGTGGCCTCAGGGGAAAAAAAACATAAAACGCCGTGGCAGGATTTCAAGCCCGAGATTTGCCTTCGAAAATTGCCCGTCCAAAAGGCGTTTTAAATCATAATAATTCCATAGCTCTTTTTAAAAGTGGAATAAATAGAAAAAAGAGTCCGGGAACTATATCGAGATTATAAAACATGTGTGTCATGAAGATGTAAACAAAAAAGCGTAGCCTGATGATGATAAAGTTGAGCAGCAATTGGAAATGCAATACAAAACATTAATCAGTTCATGATGATCATTTATCATTCGACTTCTACTTTGCGCTACATGTACTAAATGATCGCAAAACGGGCAGGGACACAAATACAAACATTGATTTCTGCTCTAACACTATTCGAAACATTTATTCGTAGATTTGTATAATTAAGTGGCGAAAGTGATATTTTGAAATATTAATGCACAGATACAAAAACATACCAAACATGTTTCGATTCTTATTCTAAAAAAAAAAAAAAACGGCAAATTTTAAAAGATCTTTTTAAAAGGAGGGAGGCGCTATAGCCCAGTGGTAGAGCAGAGCAGCTCGTAACCGGGAGCTCCCTGGTTAGAAACCAAGTCGATATGCTATGGTAAGGCATAACTCAACATTACATTTCGTTCGGAGAGGATCTTAAACCCGCCGGTCCCCTGTTTGCCTAATTCAGAGCATACACATGCTTCATATAGCAGTCAGGAAAAAAAAGCGAACGGTACAGAAAGCTACCTTTTATGGATAGGCCTAAATTGAAGGTTTGGCTTAACTAGGGAGAAGAAGGATAACATCAAACAATAGATCTACTCATGATGACGCTCTTTTCATTTCACCTCGCTGTAAGATAAAGTAGAGTTCTATGGAGCGAATACAAAAGAAAAGTTTGCTCTAAAGGTAAAAGCATAGAATGCCGTGGCAGGATTTCATGCGGCCGAGCAAGGCTATTGTTTGATCGCTATAATTGTCCAACTTGCTATAGATTCTTGTTTAGCTACACATTAAGGTTGCGTATTATGTGTGTGTGTGTGTGAGGGAGGGGGCGGCGAAGTGAACGGCCGGACCAAAATGGCAGAGGCCAATCAAGAGGGCTCCGCTCGCTAGTTATAAGGACCGCTATTCATTGGACAACTATTCATGAAGACCGCTATTCGTAATTTGAGAACATGGTCATTATGTATAAGGGTCATGAATTCGTAATACGACATCCCCCCTCCCCAAAACTAAATAAATAAATAGAAAACATGAATAGATTAATAAACTTAACTAATGATACAATAACAAATAATGCCCGGTAATTGGGAATAGCCGCCTAAGAGCGGAACAATGGGCGCAACAACTATTAGCTGCTCAAAGAGCTGTCTTTTGTCATTGCGTTGCAAAAACAAAGTGCTTTTAAAAGTTACATGTACTATAATATCCGTATGCTATATAACACCCAATGTGAACATGACGTGTTCAGGCCTTATAACTATATACAGTGCACGTTAAAACAAAAGACTTTACTAGCGCTAGCTAACAATTATGAAACGTCAAAACGTCACGAACATTGACGATAACAAATTGTTACGACAAATGCCACCACCAATACAGTTTCTTCGCGAAGAAATATTCGATCGGATTTCATGTTTGGAACAGATAGGCGATTTCGAATTGTTCCATCTACCGAAACGTTTTGATGATGCTGGCTCCCGACAATACGATTATCATTTTTGTAATATCTTTAATTTGCAGATGTTTGTTTGTTTTGTATGACATATTTATAAACGCCCTATAATCTTATTTCAAGCAGAATCTTTCAATCTCTTTGATTATAAGTATCATTTTTAAATCACGGGTATTTAAATACAATAGCTGATTTTGCGAAGATTTAGAGAACCTACGTTTCTATTCTTTAAATCGATTTTGCATGAGAAAGAACAGAGTGATGATATAGATATATGACCTATTTTGATCGGATGACAGAACAAAATGAATGTAATATGAAACAAATAATGTGTCAAAACATACAGAAGGAATACAATTATACATATCGTTTTTGTTTTGTTCGTGAAGAAATTAATATAATACAAGTATTGAACACATGAATGAACAGAAATGAGCAATCATAACAACGTCAACGCCTACACAACTTCGATGTTTGGGAGGAAAATAACAATCAGAACAACAATCTAAATCAATGTCTTGTACGTAAAATAATAATAAAACATATCAGTAGCCAAAGTGAAAATTTTAGAGTCAAATCTTTCAAGACGAGAGCGGACACACACGCGGGGATTACATGAATAACTAATGCGTAGGAACGGGCGCGAAAGCTTTTCAAATTCACAAATTCACAATTCACAAAAAGCGCTTCGCCTTTAAGCGCAGCCCCCCCCCCCCCATCCCCAATGAGTGTTATGTAGGGTACGCATATGCATTTTCCCTCCTTTTGAAAACAGTTCCTTAAGTCCAGTGTGTAAAGTCAATACGGGCCGGATTTGTGTGTACTAGACGAGCCGGACTTTGGTGCGTGAAAAGTACCCCTTTACCAGACAGTAACAATGAGTCTCCAAACAATAGCCAGATTTGATATTCATATTGTGAGCATGTGCTTAGTTATATCGGGATTCCCTGGTTATATTGAAGACGTGGGCTAATATCTGTTTGCCCAGTATTTCTCGCTGATTGTTTGGCCAACATTAAATTGCTATTGTCCAGCTGACTTTTCTAAAGGCTTTTCTACCCTCGGCGCTAAAGGGATTGCGGAAAATTTCAACACTATTTGTGTTTCTTGATGAACCAGTAGAAGAAGAATAAGGGCTACCCCCCCCCCCGAAAAAAAAAATGTCCCAAAACAACGCAATCATTATTAATTCCGTTTACTACTTGATACCAACACGTGCATGATGGATCCCCAGGATGGATCCTTATTTAGACAGTGAGACAGTTCTGTTACGAGAAGCAATTCAACGAATTGCCATGGCTTGTATTTGTTCTAGAACGCACTACACTCTTTCGATAACACGTGGCCCCTATTCAGCACAATATATACGTATTTTAGTTCTTCTTAACAATGACCTAGATCTAAAACTGGCCGCGGATGTAACCCCCCCCCCCCCCCCCTTCGTCACAAAGAAATATTCGATAAAATTCTTTGACACAGAATGATAAACTAATTTCTTCTTGAGATATGTTCGGGGTGAAATTTCAAACATCATTTCCTGGTAACTCTCTTCTTTTTTAATGCATGCTCTATTCTTACGATTTAGGCATAATTTACTATGTTGATTTGCAATTGATAATCTCCCTGGGAGTTTTGCGATATCCCCGATGATACGGGTACAGTGTATTTAATTTTTTTCGTAACATTAGTGTTTTGCAAAGAAAGAACATTCTGAAAATGAGCGTCTTCCTTCTAACGAAACATATTGATCATGTTCCCGACAAAACGGATATCATTTGCATTAACAAAATTTTAATACAGATAAAACGCTTTTTAAATCCAATTCAAACTACGACATTCTTGATTAAGTATCATTTTCAACATCACGGATTTAAAAATACGTTCTCTTATTTTAAGAAGATTCAAAGGATCTGTGTATCGAAATAACAGACTGATGATATAATTATATGATTTATAATGATCATACGACAGAACTGTTTACAAGATGCAACAAAAATTGTTTTAAAAAAAACAAGAAAATCGAAACATGCGATAACATCGCTATATAAGGAAATATAAAATTACAATTAAAGTGTCAAAACATGCACGAGAAAAACAATGTCAGAGAGAGTGGGGTATTAAAGTATAAAATAAATTTGTTTTTTTCGTGAACAAATCAATTTGTATTAAAATTGATACAGTATATTGAACACAAACATGAACAGAACAGGAGGAGATGAAAAAATGAACAATCATGCCAACGTTAACGCCTACAGAACTCCGATGTTGAGAGGAAAATAAACAAACATTGTAACCAATGTCATGTACGTAAAATAATATTAAAACAAATCAGTAGCCAAAGTAATGCTTTTCAGAGTCAAATCTCGCAAGACGAGAGCGACACACAAGCGGGCACTACATGAATAACTAATGCGCCGGACAGGGCGCGAAAGGGCGCGAAAGCTATTCAAAGTTTAAGCTCCCATTCACAAATGTCAAGTGCTTCACCGGGGCGCGCCCCGGCGGGGTAATTTCGTAACAATGAGACTCCAAACAATAGCCAGATTTTAATGAGCTGGCAACCAACTGAAGTCCTCTCCTATCCGACGCAAAAAGGCGCTAATGGGCGCATAAAGGCGCCTCCTTTGTTCTCATATCCTGCTCTGCGCCCCGACGCGTCGCGGCACAGTCGCAACTTTGGAAGGCTCCCCTTACAGCATCTTACCTGAACAAGGCTTTACAATGCTTATCACTCCGTACTGTTACAATTGCATTCGGAAGGTCAATATTAATCTTAAACAACTTTAACAAATGAGCTCCATAGGAGTTTTCAATACCGAGGTTCTGGCCAGTGGATAATGCATTTGGAGTTCTTACAAAGTATAGGTTTTTTTCTTTCTCCCTAAGGGTAATATACATTTACACACAGATTGACAATGCATACTTAAATGTGATGCATTGGTCCTCCAAAAGCATTTTTCCTAAATACTGCACAGCTATTTCACTAAGGATGGTGGGTTTTTTTTTTTTAATTTAAAAAAAGAAATCGTCTTTTCATAACAAACGAAAATCTGAAAACTCTGACCAAAATTATTTCTTCTGGGCAGCTGGGCCCTTCTAGCAAAAAGAGTACCTATAATTGCTAAGTCTACCCTGAAATCTAAAGCCAGGATTCTTACCAATATATTTGAAAGGCTTTCCTAGTTTGGTGAGTTGATTTAGGCACTGCTCTACTACATTTGATGTCCATTGGTTGACCTTGTTGTGTTGGTATGCACTGCCTCCTATAGTCCCTTCCACTGCTTCCTTGATAATGTTGCTCACCTCATCCACAACAAATGTTGTCTGGGTGTGAAAAAAGTAATTAGAATAGAAAAATATATATAATAATAAATATTGAATATTTAGGAGTGCTAACAACAATAAGTACGATAGCGCTTACAAATACAAATATATGAAAAGAGGACAAAAAATGTCTCACATGAAGTAAATCACATACATGTAGATCACTGGGGGAAAAGGTAAGTTTTGAGGGATCTTTTGAAGGTGGCAAGACAGGTAATTTCCCTTATGGAAAGAGGGATGCTGTTGCAAGTCTTTGATGCAGCTACTAGTACTGCAAAACGTTTTTCAGCTGCTGAGAGTCTAGATTTGGGAATGATAAGTTTACATGTATCGGTTGCTGAGCGAAGATTACGAGATGGTGTATATATATATGGAGGGTGTCATTAAGATATTCAGAGACTGCAGAAGGTGGCGAGGAGAGCTTGAGCACCCAAAATTTCTACGGAAAAAACATTAAAAATGCAGTGGCTCAGCCAGATAGATAACCCTGAGTCCCTGATATATGTTTTTCTCAAAGGTAAATCAAGATACACAGATGCATAAAGAACACTATTTTGCAGCATACTGGTAGCCACAACTTCAAAAAGCAAAATGAAATACATATGGGGACCAAAAATTTGATTTGGTTGTGAGAACAACAGTCCTCGAAAAGGGGAAAAAATAGTTTGAATTAAAAAAGGGGGGAACAGTGGAAATTGAAGAATAAATCAATAAAGCATGAGAAGGTAATGATTTTATTTTGTCATGGACTACATTAGTTAGATGGGTCAAATAGTTCTGTGAAAGATTTGTCCAAAAAATTTTGACTACACTTTGTGTGATTGATTTATTAAGATAAGTTCCAATAGGTTTGACTTCTGACATATCTGAATAATTCCATTGGCATGGTGTCACTGCTTTGCTTGCGCTTACTTGCTGATCGGCGAGTTTGACAATAGACTTACAATTTGAATTTTTAAATCATTTCTTTTCAACATCTGGAAGTTGAACAAATTGTATTTTACTGCTATTTACATGTAGGTGTCATTAATTGTCACTAAAGTACCAATTTTTAGTGAAATCAGTTGGGTTTTGTACAGTGGTGTTTGAAATTTTGAGAATCAATAGCACAGCTACATGTATTAATACACAGCCAGGATAGTAATGCAGAGCTACATGTATGTGTGCTGTAAGGTAGGTACAGTGTATGTGTGAGAAGAGATTTATGCACATGCGATGAGCTGTTGCTTGTGAATGTAGCTGCCTCATGAATTATGCATTATGGATTTTGCGCATGCGGTGTAGCTGCTAGGGACATCATGTAGAACTGTTAAACTCTGTACATATAGGGCAGGGGAAGCAAACCTTTGTGTGACGCATGACGAATGTGAATTTAACAACACATCATCATCGATTTTAAATTAAGAATAGTCTAGTCTAGATCTGAAAAAGAGTAAGACTGCAGATTTATTTGTTGTAGTCTAGTCTAGTTGGCAGTAGTAAGAAGATAAGTAGAACTTTAGAATATCCCACCAATAGGGTTAATGTACATGAACATCAAAGACCTAGGGCTAGGAATAGGGTTAGATTTGGGGTTAGGATTAGGTTTAGTGTTACTTAAAGTTAAAAAGCTTAAGTCTTGAGATTTAGCTTCATTGGTATTTGGTCATTTTGAATTTGGTGCCCTACGAACATACGTTTGGTCAATTTTAGTGGCGGGGTACCATATTCTAAAGTTGCTCCAATAAGTACAGAGCTACCAAGTATCACGCATTAGGCGTGACATCACGCATTTCGAGGGTCTGGAAATGCTCTCACGCATGACGCGCGCGCTAGATTTTGAAAAAAACGCTATACCTATTACATGTAGTTATACGTGTTTTATACCCTCGCCTGCGCGCTCGCGCGCCAAATCATGCAAATGTCACGCATTGCCATTGCTGATCTTTGTTTGAACTTGGAGTCTCTGTAAGAAAATTTTGTCATTCACATTATTATTACTCCAACTTCCATCCCTGCCCTGGGCCTGGCCTTGGCCTTGGCATCTTCTTTGACAAAGTTTGAATCTTTCCCCCTCCGCGCGCAGACTCCGCGACTTGTTCAGTTCACGACTGCATGCAAACTGCAATGGCAATGCAAATGCAAGTGTGTGCGGGCAAATCATGACAAGAGTGGTTTCCACAACAAGACATAGCCTTAATATTTATGATACAACAGAAGGTATTATCAAGAAACATTAAGTTTTTCAGACAAGGCAACATTGCTGTGTATTGCCATTGGCATTTAAATTTAGCTCGACATTGCTCAGCAACTGCCGCATAGCCATAGGCATAGCCTACTTTACACAAATATAATTCACAACCATCCACACATGAATCGCACAGAGACGGGCGAGGGCAACAAGCGAGCGCACGTCGAATCTTTCGCAAACAAGACATTGCATTCATTTTCCGCTCCTTCGTTTCGAAAATACGTTTAAACTTGTGATATTTACCTCTTCAGCAGTTTGAAAGTCATCCATATTGCTCTATTTGTTGTTCTCAAAGTTTAAATTATATTGGTTTATGTTCGACTGCTGGGATTGGAGTTTTTTCTATTTACAAGTTGACCCTTGAAGTGACCTCTCGTTGGCAAGAGGTTTTTGGGCGAATCGATTTTTTCATTCACAAATTGACAAAGTTTAACAATGAATAAAGTTTGATTAGTTATTCAATGTTAATATTAAGTGCTAAATATTAAGAATATAATCTATTTGTTTCATTTTTAATACCACTGGTTGAAAGTAAGAGCAAATTCCCACTTTATAAATGTTTTATTTCCACTAATTTCCCCTATAAATTAATGAACTAATCTAACTGTAGTTGAAATAAGTAGCCAAATGCTTTGTAGCCAATTTGACAATTAGACACCCGGTAGTGATCACACTCAAAAATGACTTGCATGGGACCGACACGGACAACCCTGTACGTAGTGCTTTCGGGATTTATAAAAAAGATGGGCAAGCACAAAAGGAGGAAATTAGATTTTGAGGTTGCTCTTACAAACTCATCTAACTAACTAGACCAACCCCCCCCCCCCCAAAAAAAAATAAATAAATAAATAAATATAAAAAAATATCAATGTATTAGAAAAAGGAGTGCACCTCTGAAGGATTGATATTTCGGAGTTGTCTAATATAAAGATATGCCACTTTGGTTTCAAAAGGAGACAAGAGCTGCCCCTTAAAAGTTCTGCCAATACGCATGCATCCACTGGCGTGCTGATGGGGGGGGGGGGGCAGTTGACCCCCAGATACGATTCGAACGTTGCTTATTTCTAATACGATACCAGTGATTTACAATTGTTGCTAAAAGTGACATGATTTTCCGGGTATAAGTTTCTCACTTTTTCCCATTATGCCAGTGCCCCCACTTTTTCTTGTACCCCTAAAGTGCCCCCTTTACGGAGGAAAAGTGCCCCTTTTCTTTTCTAATAACTGATTCTTTTCTCTCTTTTCATTTCTGGTGAAAACCTCTTTTCAGGTGCGAGAAATTTCCCTTTTCACCTTTTATATTTTCCCCCTTTTTGTTAACTTTGACTCGTGCTCCTTTTCCTTTAAAGTGCACTCTTTCCTTCGTAAAAACAACCCCCTTCCACTTTTCACCTCTGATCAGTGCCTCTTTTATTTTGACACGTGCCCCTTTTCCGTTCTGATAAGTAGGCCTAGCATATTTCCTTCGGATATTTGCCCCTTTTCCTTTTTTATATGAGCCCCTCCCCCTTCCAAATACCTCTTTTAACATCTGATAAATGTCCCTATTTAGATAACAGATGCTCCATTTCCATTCTCACAAATGCCCTTTTTTTCACTCTGTTAACTGCCTTTTTACTCTGACACGGAGCACCTTTTCTTTTTTATTAACTGTGTTTTTCCCTTCTGATAAGTGCCTATTTTTCCTTTCTCCATAACATGTATTCCTAATTCAAGGCGACTTAAGGCCCCAAGTTTTCTTTAATTTAATTAAAACTGGACTCGCTACGCTAGCTCGCATTTATAGATGTTCAAGTAATTATTTTTTACTTATAAAAGAACTTTTCAGTCTTTCTTCACTAGATTGTGCTTAATACTCATCAGGGTTTCTTTTTTGTCTACTTTATTAGGATGTTATGTTTTGCACTGGGACCTCACAAATCTTAAAATTAATATTCAAACATAACATCTAACTAAGCAAATTATTTTATTGTACCACGTAAAGAAAGAAATGATTGATGTCATCCGTAGTGTAATCACAATCATGAAGATGTTAGCAGTTGGGGAAAATACCAATGTCTAAGAATGGTGTATGTTTTGTTTATGTCTCCCTTTGTAGTTGCCCCTTTTTTTCTTCCAAAAAGTACCCTTTTTGTTGGTGCCCCTCCCTCCTACTTTGGAAGACGCTGCGCCGCCCCTGCTCTATGCTACTTGGTGGTGATGCACTGATGCGGATATTGTTCTGACCCCCCCCCCCCCCAAGGTTTTGCTCATTACTCCATTGCGTGCACCCAAATAATTATTATGCCTATTTGAAAAAATAATGAATCCTAACAAACGATGAAGGTGTGATTCCCCCATTCCAAAAGTTGGCCTCGGGAGGAGCATGCATTCATTGAGCCTATAATTGATAATAATAATGGTTCCTTCTTAGCGCATTTCAGGACCTCATGCCCTCTCAAAGTGCTTTACAGATATATATTATTACCCCGTACATCGTATTCAGGCTTACCCGCACACAATGTATGCACATTCTCCACTCCCTAGGGAGCATTCCAGCCAGGCGTCATTTTTACAAGCGCACACTTGCTTATCTAACCACATCAAATTTTGCATCCTACCGGGTACCCATTTAACACCTGGGTGGAGAGTGGCAAATGTAGATCAATGTCTTGCCAAAGCAGGGGCGGATGTAGCTTTTTCCAAAGGGGGGGGGGGGGGGGGTGGCCAAATTTGTTTCCTAAAATCGCGCCGTTTTACTATTTTTCCTTGTTTTCTGTCTGTTTCACTGTGTTGGCCGCCCAGGGGGGGGGGGGGGGGGTAAACCGCCGAACCCCCACCCCCACCCCACCCCTAGATCCGCCACTGCAAATGACATTATTTCAGCAGTGCGAGTCACTTTTTTTTTTTTTTTTTTGGTCTCGAAATTTGAAACTTTGACATTTGGCTCCGTTGGGGGGGGGGGGGGGGGGGGGGGGGGTAAGGTCACCTTTTTAGGTCAGCCATGGGAATATTTTTTAATTTTTTTTTTAAATAATTAAAAAAAAAAAATTCCAAGGGGGGGTTTAGGGGGGGGGTGATGGGGGGGGGGGGGGGTTTACACACATAAAAATACCAAGGGGGGATAACCCCCCCCCCCCCTCCCCCCTGTGTACGCGCCTGACCGGGGCACATTATTGAAACAAATCTAAATCTATCTAATAAAAGATCATAATCTGGGCGTTTACCATGTTATCATGCATTCACACAGTTGCGAGTGTACAGTACAGAGCCATCGATATCGCGACGTAGAACTCGTCTGCATTTTTGTATGGCGCCATACCATTCACCGGCGGCCAGCTTGACACAATCTATAATTTTCGATCTCCCAAAAGAAGAATTTTGCAGATATTTGAACTCTCCAGTGCATAAGTAAGTATAACATATATTGATGAGCACTCGAATAATAATTGGAGCAATAAGCAAAACTTGTAGAGCATTATATATTCTATCTTGCCAGTCATGTGAATGTGAGTGACTGTGAGTTTGTGATTATATCAGGCCGATACACTGCATTGTTGACAATCGACAGATCGAAAGGTGGGGTTTGTGTCGCCCGGTCCACTGGGCTGGTGGTGGTGGTAGTAGTGGTAGGCTTGGTACGAAGCTAGCCGCGGCGCCGATATGTCGATGGCATTAACATTACATTGTCATCAACGCATCTCTTCTCGTTGTGGTTTTCGTATTTGTATTGTTATTTTACGACATTTCAACTATAACAATGTTTGTTCAAATTGAGTTTAGCATAAAGCATCTATAGTGTAGCCAACTATAAATACTCTATTTAGATGCAGGTACTCAACTGGAAGAAGAAAATGAAGAAGAAGTACTCTCATGAGTGAATAGAAATAAAAATAGATCCTAAGTTCATGTAATGTTGTGATGTCCATGTAACTCTGATTAAAAAAAAAATAGTGAGCAAAATTTTTGAAGAGAAGCAGCTGAAACTGGACAGGGCTCTGCCGTGGAACCGCTCTACGGCGTACGGCCATCGTATCCTAGCCCATTTCTGGGACAACTGGGACATTGTCATATTATTTGCCCCAAACCTCAAAGAATGACCAAGATACAGTTGATGAATTTGCGGTGTCGAGTGAGAGAAGTCAAGAGTTGGGTGTTTCATTTTGGTTTTGCAAAAATGTTATGTTCTTTATATTGAAATTATAATATAAAAATCTTTCTAAAAAAATTCTTTAAAAAATGAAGTACCAAGTTGATGGATATTTAATTTAATGGTAAACTATTTTCAAGAGAAGTATCTGCTTACCCCTGCCCCAGATTAGTGACTACCCATGATGCAATAGGAATATAAAAGTACATGTATAATTATATTAACATTTCCGAACTAGGCACTAGCCTGATCCTTTTTCACAGCGAATTTTTTTTCTTTTGTTACTTTATCTCTATTTTTGTGGTATTTCTTAGGAATCTAGACTATTTTCCTTCTAATTACTTATGGAAAAAACATAAAAAATGGACCCTCAAAACCTATTTTTTAGGCTAAGGATTTGGAACAAAAGATACCTAGATGAAAATTATATTCAGCCTTCAAAATAGTCATATATTTTCTTTACTGTTTTTGTTTGTTCCTATTTTTGGACTAATTTTCAATGAGTTTATTTTAACAATGGTAGGAGTGCCCTGGTGTACTCACTTAAATTCATTGTTTATATAATAAAGTATTACTAGAGAAATTCAACCAGCGGAATATGAAGACCAGATAAAGCCATTCAGAAGGTCATTATCAAAGATTATTCTCTTGTATTTTTGTTGTTGTATTTTGTTGTAATTTATTTTGCTACATGTGATCATTTTTCATATGAATGAGAGCCAAGAAGAATCAATTTCAAAATGGCAATGTTTACATGTCCATATTATTCCACCTTCCCTGTTAAAGGGCAGATACCTGGTGCCCTCCCCTCCCCCCCCCCTAAAAAAAATAGGAACAACTACAATTTCTGTCTAACCCCAACAATTGTAAAATGATATTTAACACAGAGCATTATTCTTTAGTTTGTATCATGAATGCTAACAATGCGTCATTGATTCATATTGGAGAGTGTGTGCAGGTATGGTACCCATACAGTATGTACAATACATGTATGTTAATTAAGCTGTTTCAGCTCTGTACGAATATAAGGATGGGTTGTCAATTTAATAGAGACAGTCAGCACAGCATGCAGGCCAATTTAATGATTCTTGCATGGCTGGTTTGGGACAATATTTGATGCGGTAGACTGCCACCCGTTCATTTCAAATCTCTGTCACCACTTTCCAAGGCTTGTGATAAAGCCTGATTATGTGTGATAACAGATACTGTATTTCATTGTACATTCAATTAAAAAAAAGAGGCTCTCAATGCTATTAGTCTTTGATACGAAAATTGATTCTGACCACCTTGCAATGAGTAGTAAAATTTATGTGGTATTGCTTGGGAATTTTGACAATCCCCATCAAAATGCTTTGTCTGTGTTTTGTATTGTTTTTAAATTTTCCCTCTCAATTGGCGTGTTGATATTTTCTGGTCATCTTGCTGGCAGATCTTGTAATTAAGACACCCCCCGGCCGTCCAATATAACAG